CAGGTCCTCCATCCGGTATTTTAACAACAAGGCAGCTCAGCTGGTGAAAACTGTTTACTTAAGTTTGGTCCTTGGGACCACATAGTGAAAGGAGAGAACTGACTTTCAAGAGTTGTTCCCCAACCTCTTCACAGACACTGTGGCACATGCACAAAGTAAAATGTAATAGAACCATATATTTCTGAGTGTGGTGTTGCACACCTTTAATCCTAGCACTTAGGAGGCAGAGGTAGATGGGCCTCTGGTCTACAGAGCAAGTTCCAGGACAGCCACAGCCACACAGAGAAACTCTGTCTTGCAAAAACAAAATAAGCCAGGTGATGGTGGTGCACACCTTTAGTCCCAGCACTCAGGAGGCAGAGGCAGGCAGATCTCTGTGACTTTGAGACCAGCCTAGTCTACAAAGTGAGTTCCAGGACAGCCTCCAAAGCCACAGAGAAACCCTGTCTCGAAAAACCAAGAAAAAAAATCATATATATAGTGGAGGAAGAAAAACAGGAAGGAAGAATGATTGTGAAGGAAGATTGTTTAAGAACAAGAGAAACAACAGGAAAAGCAATCAGTAGTAAAAATAAGTGATAGTTTTTAGCCTAAGGGCTACTGTGCACAACCAATAGCACATCTCTCCAACTTAAGAAATGCTGCTGATAAGCACTAGCTACTACAGAGCTGCAGGCTAGTTTAATTCTTCCCCAGGAGTGAAGAAAGGGACATGAAATTACCCCTTTGACCTTGTAGATTGTACTGCACAGATTGGAATGCACGCCAGGCAGTCAGTGACTTATGTACCTATGTATTTCTTTTATTGTTGTTCTTTTCTTAAATTATTTTAAGAGTGCAGGTTCTTTCCCTGTGTGTGTGTGTGTGTGTGTGTGTGTGTGTGTGTGTGTGTGTGTGTGTGTGTGTATGGGTGTATGTGTGTGTGTATGCCTGGGCATTATATGCCTTGGAACTGAAGTTACAGTTAAGATCAGCCATATGAGTGCTGACAATTGAACCCTAGATATCTGGAAGAACAGCAGTGCTCTTAATCTGTGAGCCATCTCTCCAGTCCCATCTCTTCCACCTAGTTTTTGAGGCAGGATCTCTCGTTTCTGCCTGCCACTGAGATGCTTACTCCAGGCTAGCTGGTCCACAAACATCTGGGCATCTAGACTTCCAGGAAGCCTTTATTTCCAGGTGATCCTCCTGTCTCCACCTTCTATCTTGGGGTGGAGTGCTAGGATGACAGACGTGTACCACTGAATGTGGATTTTACAATGTGGAGACTGCCCAGCAAGCAGTTTACTCACCAAGCCATCCCCTAATCTGTGATTGCTTTTAAATTGTTTTAAAATATTTTAATTTTTTTTTTTGGTTTTTCGAGACAAGGTTTCTCTGTGGCTTTGGAGGCTGTCCTGGAACTCACCCTGTAGACCAGGCTGGCCTCAAACTCACAGAGATCTGCCTGCCTCTGCCTCCCGAGTGCTGGGATTAAAGGCGTGCACCACCAACACCCGGCAATATTTTAGTTTTTAACTTGAGATAAGTTCTCACCAAGTAGCCCAAGCCAGCCTGGCTCACCTTAAACTTTTGGCGTAGGATTTGTGATATAGGACTTGTGACTCCTGTATCAACCTCCAGAGTGCTGGGATTACAAGTGTGAGCCATTAAACTTGCCTTAACAGTGATCTTGGGGAATGTACTTTTTTTTTGTGGTTTTTCGAGACAGGGTTTCTCTGTGGCTTTGGAGGCTATCCTGGAACTAGCTCTTGTAGACCAGGCTGGTCTCCAACTCACAAGAGATCCGCCTGTCTCTGCCTCCCGAGTGCTGACTATAAAGGCCTGTGCCATCACCGCCCAACTTGGGCAGTGTATTTTTAAGTTTTCTAAACCTTTAAATTAAAGACAGTCTTTACTTCAAAGACTGGAGAGATCATTGAGTAGCTAAGAGCACATGGGTTTAGTTGCCAGAACCCACATGGCAGTTCACAACCATTTACAACTCCATTCCTGGGGGATCTGATGCCCTCTTCTAGCCTCCTAAGGCACCAGGCACACACTTGTTGCACATGCAGGCAAAATATCTATCCATATAAGATAAATTAGTGAAAATATTTATAGTGTTTGAGAGATGGCTCTACTATCATACTTGTTACCTTTGGAAAGGACCCAGGTTTGATTCCCAGCACCAACATAATGGTTCACAGTCATCTATAACTCTAGTTCCAGGGAATCCAATGCCATTTTCTGACCTCTGAAGGCACCAGACATGCATGTGTGTGCTACACTTACATACATGCAGGTAAAATTCATACACATAATATAAAATTAATTGATTTTAATTCACTTCAGGGTACAATGGTGGGTGCCTTGGGGTTTTGTTGTTGTTGTTTTATTTTGTTTTTTGCTTTGATTTTTGAGACAGGTCTTCTCTGTTTAGTCCTATTGCTGGCTGTCCTAGGAGTCACTTTGTAGAGTTCCAGGCTGGCCTGGACTCAGACATCTATCTGACTCTGCCTCCCAAGTGCTGGAATTAAAGGTGTCCACCACCAGTACCACCCAGCTCGTACATGCCTTTAATCCCAGCACTCAGGAGGCAGAAGCAGGCAGATCTCTGTGAGTTTGAGACCAGCCTGGTCTACAGAGTAAGATTTTTTTTTCATTTTTTAATTTACTTCAGAGAGTTGTGAACATTAATTAAGTCTGAGTATTTAAGATGGAACCAGGCACTAGACAGCATTAAGAAATGTTATTGTTGAGTTCGAGGCCAGCCTGGTCTACAGAGTGAGTTCCAGGACAGCCTCCAAAACAATACAGAGAAACCCTGTCTCGAAACCAAAAAAAAAAAAAAAAAAGAAATGTTATTGTTTTAAATATTTAGTATTATAGACCTAGAAAGCACAGAAAAACAGAGAATGGAACAAAGGTAACTGTAAGTTCACTTCTGCGGCATGTGCATTTAGTCTGCTTTCAGACTAATTAAACTAACAGGCACTAGACTAGGGCAGCCTCACAGTTCCACCCTCCCTCTGCTGTATAGAGTGGATAGTAATGACCTGTCCAGGCCTAGAAATACAGCTGTCCATGGGCGGGACAGCAAGTCCTCCCTTCTGTCTCTGCATGAATGAACTCTGAAAGCCCAATGGTATGAAGCCTGGGACCAGGGGTATTACCTCAGTATAGTAAGTATAATTAATAAGGCCCTACATTTGATCACACAGTCCACAGAAACAAAACATATTAATAGTTGCCTACTGCTAAGGGATTTGGGGATATGGGGAGTGGACTATTAATGAATATAAATGAGGGAGAAAAGTGGAAAAATATTTGGGAGAATTATGAAAGACATTCTAAAATTATGTCTCTCCCCCTCGTGTGTGTGTGTGTGTGTGTGTGTGTGTGTGTGTGTGTGTGTGTGTGCTCACAGACCAAAAAAGGTCATCATATCCCCCAAGGAACTGGTTGTGAGCTGCCTGACATGGATGATAGGAACCAAAACTTAGGTCCTTTGAAAGAACAGTACTGCTCTTAAACACTGAACCATATCTGCAATCTCCAATTTCTTTCTCTCTCTCTCTCTCTCTCTCTCTCTCTCTCTCTCTCTCTCTCTCTCTCTCTCTCTCTCTCTCTCTCTTCCTCCCTCTTCCTCCTCCCCTCCCCTCTATTTTGAGATAGGTTTTCAAGTAGGTGGCTCAGGCTGGTCTCAAATTCACAACACAGAAAATGAAATTAAACTCTTGAATTCCTGGTTCTCCTGCCTCTACCTCCTAAACCAGAGTTTAGGGTTACACATCTAGTTTCACGTTTAATACACTCTCATTTCCCATGAGTAGCAATATGGACTTCTGGGTCACCTGGTCTTATATAAGCCTGGCTGAGAGCCATGGTCAATCACTAGGGTTGGAAATTACTTCCAGAAGTGAGTCAGCCTTCCTCCAGGAGAAAACAAGCTATTTATGAGGAGATAGTTATCTACATACGTTTATCATCTTAAAAATTCTTTTTAAATGCGGATGGATATTTTGTCTGCATGTATGTCTATGTACCACATGGGTACCTGGTACTTAGTGAGACCAGAAAAAAGGTTCTCCAAGGACTGGAGTTTCAGACAGTTATGTGCCAGCCACCATGTGGGTGCTGGGAATCCATCTGGAGCCCTCTGGAGAACCAGTGCTCTTAGTTGCTGAGCTAACTTTCCAGTCCCATCTCTATTAATTTAAAGACGTATATAGAATAGATATTCCACGCTGCTTGAGCCACGAAGCGCTTAGTACTTTCCTTTAAAAGCATCTTCCTTCTCCTCTGCCCTTCCTACTGCAGTTTGAATTAGTTCTTAGGTTCCTGAGATGAAAGAAAACAACAATCATTTCCCCGTGGCCATTAACCCTTTGTGGTCTTGAGCCTGTTCTTTAGCTCACATGCTAGTGACCGACTATTCTGCATTTGTTAGTCCACTTTTGACTTTAAGAGCGCCTCTTCTTCCTTAAGATGGGGAGCACAGTTTTCCTACCGCTGCACTATGGCCTCACACACCGTGGACCTCAGGACCTCTGGTGTTTAGAAAAACTGGATCTAGTGGCTCACGCTTGTCAGGCCAGCACCCAGGAGACTGAGCCTGAGGGGATGTGGAATTTGAGGCCAGACTGTGTTGCACAGTGAATATTGTATTTCAAATATAAATATGGACAGAAAGTGGCCAACAGGAACCAAATAACACACCCAAGAGAGACGACGTGAAAAGCGAATCCTGTATTCACTTGACAAGCACTGGAAACAGCAGCTTGAACTGTAAATAAAACAGAGAAGAGAAAAATACCAGTAGCTCGTCTCCTCCAGAACCCGCAGGCTCCAGGTTGCTAGCGTACATGTTGCGCTCCCTGCTGACACTGTAGATTTAGCAGCTAACCTTGCGGAGACCAGAAGGTTCTGACAGCGCAGGCGCTGGAGTTCACAAGTTTTGCCACGGCGCAAGCGCTGGAGGTGGCCTCCTCCAAGACCTGACCGTTGGGGCTCGTCGGAGCTCCACTGCGCAGGCGCCGCTCTCGGCACCATGGCGGCCGCATTAATCCTATTGCGCGCACTCCGCCAAATCCCGGAGCCTGGGCCCAGGCGCTTATGGGACCTGCTCTCGATCAGGCACCCAGGCTTCTCGTCTGGGTCTTGGAGCAGGCGGCCATACATGGTCCGTGGGACTCCGGTTGGCCTCGCTGCGGCTGGAGGCCAAGCGCCGCAGGTAACCCGATCCGAACCTAGCGGTGGCGGCGGCTGTCGCGGGTCTCTGCGGACCGGATGTGCGCCTTGCACCTTCCTCTTTGGCTAGGCCTACCCGGCTGCGTGGTGCGGGAGGAGGGCAGATGTAGGCTCCCCGGGGCGTGAGGCATTGATTTTTCTAGCCCTAGTGTGTTTGTGATGTACCTCAGTCCTTGGCGGTTTAACATTGAGTCCTATTTACCTGTTTCTTTCCTTTTCTTTTTGTTTTTGAGGCAGAATTTCATATAGCCTGGGACTCAGTGTGTAGTCAAAGCAACTCTTGAATTCATGAACTTTTCCCCGCACCTTCGGAAGCGCTGGGGTTGTAGGTGTGGGCCACCATACCAGAATGATTTCACCAGTGTCTGACGTTAGTGGTACATTTGGCTCAACTGGACCAATTCCATTAGGATGCATTTCAGCGCTTTCGGAAAAGTAATTGCTTAGAGCAGTAGGAAGCTTCTTGCATGAACGAAAACCAGGTAGCTACAGAGTAGTTTGTTATTGATAGGATTCCTTGAGTTCCTAGTGGGAAGGCTGTGCTTCATTCAGGCCCCTCATCTCAGCCAGGTGAAGTTTTTTTTTTTTTTTTTTTTTTTTTTTTTTCGAGACAGGGTTTCTCTGTGGCTTTTGGAGGCCGTCCTGGAACTCCCTCTGTAGACCAGGCTGGCCTCGAACTCACAGAGATCTGCCTGCCTCTGCCTCCAGAGTGCTGGGATTAAAAGCGTGCGCCACCAACGCCCGGCTGAAGTTTTGATATTATCTTAAAACTTCCAAATGGTCACATTTCAGGGCAATATAAATATTACAGGTAAATATGCACTTGAACTTTGTTTTTTAAAGCAGAACAAGGTGGTGCAAACCTGCAATTTCAGCGTTTCCTGGGAGGTTGAGGCCAGGAAGATTGTGATTTGGAGACTAAAACAAGTCATGTGATCCTCCTCAGTCTATGGTTGAAAGTTATTGGTTGTTGTTTCTTTTTTGTTTTTGTTTTGTTGCTGAATGTGGTGACATTTATTGATGGAATTGACAGTAGAGCTCCCTAGGACCCTCCTTTGGAGGCAGGTCTAGGATGGAAACTCTGAGAAGGGGGAGAGTCTCAGCATGTTAATGGGGCACCTGACTCCTCAACACTGGAGGGCCTCCCTTTTCCTTTTGTGCTTTTGCTGGGATGGGTGGTCTAGGGTTCTCACTCCCTGAACCCAACGTAGACTGTGAGATCCACCACCTTGTTGCTGTAGTCAAATTCACTGTACCAGTATATGAGTTTGTACCAGTAAATGAGTTGAGTGTAATGACAGCCCCAACATTGACGGTGGAAGAGTGGGTGTCACTGTTAAGGTCTCAGAAGACAACTGGATCCTCAGTGTAGCCTAGGATGCCCTGTAGGGGTCCCTCTGATACCAGCTTCACCACCTTCTTGATGCCAATATGTTTGCCAGCTTTTTTCAGGTGGTAGGTCAGATCTAAAGCAGACATTGGGAATGGATGGACATTCAGGAGGCCATGCCCGTAAGCTTCCTTCCTGTTCAGCTCTGGGATGACTTCATCTACAGTTTTGACAGTGCCAGTGGATACTCCATTGCTATCCTGCTGGTTTTCCAGAGAGGGCATGTAGATGGCATGGATTGTGGTTGAGTTGTTCAGGACATCAACGTGGACAAATGGTCCTAGCCATCAGGACTAGGAAGTTGGTGATGCAGGAGGCATTGTTGATGCTCCTTTTGGTTTTGTTTGTTTATTTTTTTGAGATAGGGTTTCTCTATGTAGCCCTGGCTGTCCTGGAACTCAATCTGTAGTCCTGGCTGGGCTCAAACTCAGATATCCACTTGGCTCTGCCTTCCAAGTGCTAGGAGTAAAGACATGTGCCACCACCACCTAGCTTGTTGATGCTCTTGAGTAAGTTGTAGTTAACCATTACAAAGATGGTTCAGTACAAGGGGCTTCCCATGTCCAGTGAGCCCCAGCCTTCTCCATAGTAGTGAAGAAATGAGTGAACTTCACAATATACTCACCAGTGTGACCCCATGTGGTGTTGGTGGGAATGTTACTACTAGAAGATGGAGATAGTCTTTCCATTGGTAACAAGTTCCAAGTCTTAGCCTTCACTGTACCGTGAATCAGAAAAACATTAAATTTAATTATTGATCTTAACATTTAAACGTCGGTGGATCATGGTGGTGTACACCTTTCATCACAGCACTCAGAAGCAGAAGCAGGTAGATATCTGTGTGTTCAAGGCCAGCTTGATCTACATATTCTATTCTAGGCCAGCCAGGGCTACATGTAAGACCCCATCTTGTGGGGGAAAAGAGCATAAAAGGTTAAGCCAATTGTAGAGCATGCCTGTAATGCTATATTTGGGAGGTAGAAGTGGAAGATGAGGATTTCAAAGCCATTCTCAGCTAAATAGTAAATTTGGGGCCAGCTTGAACTACATGAGGGCAGGTCCAAACAACAAAACCAAAATCAAAACAAGCTCGCTGGATTGGTATGGTAGCATAGGCTTGTAGTCCCAGCACTTGGGAGGCTGATGCAAGAGGGTCTCTGTGTTTGAGGCCAGACTCTGTGTCACAGTGCTGGAATTATAGGCATCTACCACTATATCTAGTTTTGTGGGGTACTGAAGATCAAACTCATGGTTTCCTGCACGCTAGGCAAAGACTCTACCAACTAATCCATATCCCCACCCCTGTGTTGCTTTTGGTGTGTGATCTTAGTATTACCTCAGTCTTTTTCTTTTTTGCAGAACTTGCTATTTCGAATACTGACCCCTAGCTTTGGAGGTATTAGCGGATTGTTACTGAAACAACATATAGTTCCAAATGCAATCAGACTGTGGCAGCTTTCAGGTGTGTATCTATGCATTACATGTTCCTGAAGTGATGGACGCAGATTTTACTGTAGTCCTATAAGAGTGTAATGGAAGAGGAGCATGGTCTAGTATGCATGTAATCCCAGCACTGAAACAGGGGTCTACCGGTTGGAGACCAGCTAGAATTAGCTAATGAAACCTTGTCTCCAAAAAAGAAAAAGAAAAAAAAAAAGAGTTCAGGTTGCCTGAAAACACAGTACTTATTGTAGTGAGAGTAGAGTAGCCTAGGAGCAGAAGGCTACTTACTCTAGGGCTGGAGAGATGGCCCAGCCATTAAACAGTAGGCTCACAACTAGGCAGGGCAGCGGTGGTGCACGCCTTTAATCCCAGCACTCGGGAGGCAGAGGCAGGTGGATTTCTGTGAGTTTGAGACCAACCTGGTCTACAAGAGCTAGTTCTAGGACAAGCTTCAAAACCACACAGTTAGAAACCCTGTCTCAGGAAAAAAAACTGGAAGAAAAAAAAAGTAAGCTATTCTCCTGGCCTAGGTGTGCCCCAAAATCTGCCATTTCATCCATACACTGTATACATATACTGTGATCGATTCAAAGAATGCAGTGTCCTTGGCAAATGTCAAGTGACCATTAGAATGTTGCTAGTTTGACATTGACCAGAAAACTAAGAACAGCCACCATAGAAACCCTGAACTTGGTGGCGCACGCCTTTAGTCCCAGCACTCGGGAGGCAGAGGCAGGTGGATCTCTGTGAGTTCGAGGCCAGCCTGGTCTACAGAGCGAGTTCCAGGACAGCCTCCAAAACAATACAGAGGAAAAAAAAAAGAAACCCTGAACTTCTGACCTCTTTAGTGCTGAGATTATAGGTATAATGTGCCATTAGTTTTCTATGATGATAGGGATTAGACTCAGAACTTTTAGCGTGCAAGCAAATATTCCAACTAAGCTATATTTTCATTCCAAGCTTTAGTTCTTTCTGTTGTAAGCCTGTTGGTCTTTGGATTATCTGAAATGATGTTTATAGATAGGGAGTCTAAATACTTCTCAATCATCCTGCCTTTACCTTCCCAGTGGTAGAATGTGGGAATATGCCACTACTCTCCTGCTGTTTTTTTGTTGTTGTTGTTGTTGGGGTTTTTTTTTGTTTTGGTTGGGTTTTTTTTTTGTTTTTGCTTTTGTTTTTGTCTTTTTGAAACAAGGTATTAATTTATAATCCAAACTGGCTTTGAACTCATAATCCTCCTGTCTTCACCTTTCAAGTGTTGGGATTACAGGTCTGCACTACCAGGCTTAGACTTATTTTTGTTCATGTTAAGTGTTTTGTTTAGCAGCTCTGTGTGTGTGTGTGTGTGTGTGTGTGTGTGTGTGTGTGTGTGTGTGTGTGTGTGTGTGTGTGTACAGGGGTACCCCTGTGGATCTCTCCTTCTACCATGTGGGTCCTAGGAATCAAATTTAGCAGCACATATCTTTACCTATTAGCCATCTTTTTTTGTTTGTTTTGTTTTTCGAGAACAGGTTTCTCTGTAGCTTTGGAGGCTGTCCTGGAACTCTCTCAGTCGACCAGGCTGGCCTCAAACTCACAGAGATCCACCTGCCTCTGCCTCCCCAGTGCTTGAATTAAAGGTGTGCGCCACCACCACCCGGCACCTACTGAGCCATCTTAACCCTCATTTAAAAAATTCAAGTGGCGAGGACTGGCTCAGGACTGTGATGGCTCAGTAGTTAAGAACATTAGCTACTTTTTCAGAGGACCTAGGTTTGGTTCCCAGAACCCACAGAGCAACTAACAGCCATCTGTAATCCTTATTCTATAGTATCCAACCCCTTCTGGCTTTCACTAAGCACAGCACAAATGGTGCACAGATATGTAGGCAAAACACCCACACATATAAAATAAAAATGGATCTTTAAAAAATGAAGTGCCAGGTGGTGGTGGCATATACCTTAAATCCCAGCATTCAGGAGGCAGAGGCAAATAGATCTCTGTGAGTTCAAGGCCAGCCTGGTCTATAGGGTGAGTTCCAGTACAGGCTCCAAAGCTACACAGAGAAACCCTGTCTCAGAAAACAAAACAAAATAAAAAACAAACAAAAACTAAATAAATAAATGAATCATGAAGTTGTATATTGTTGTTGTTCTTTTTATTTATTTATATTTTTTGAGGCAGGGTTTCTCTGTTGTAACTATGACTGTCCTAGAACTCACTTTGTAAAATAGATTGTGGTCAAACTCAGATCCTACCTCTGCCTCTCAAGTGCTCAGTTAAAATTCTATCATGCCATAATTTTATTCCTTTTTTGCCTAGTTGGAATAGGGAACAGTGGAATGCTTGCATCCTAATTAGAAGGAAACAACCTGTGTTGGCACTGGGCTCATCTGCTCTGAGTTTCATTTGAATTTTTTTCCCTTGTTCAGTGACTCTGAGATATTCATGAATATACTCAGCCATCCAAAAACTCAATGTTGAGTTCTAATGGAAATAAAGATAGTTTTGCTTTTTCAGTCTGTTAATGTTTTTATAAAGTTAGATTTGGAGCTGGAGCTGTGGCTCATAGGTTGAAACTACCACTCTTCCAGAGGACTTGAGTTCAGTTCCCAACATCCACATGAGGCAGCTCACAACCATCTGTAACTTGGTATTCTAAGTTCCATAGGGTCTGGCACCTGGTTTCCTCAGGCATGCACCTGGTGCACATAGAAACAGGTAGGCAAAATACTCATGTAGATAAAAAATACTTGTTTTTTAATTTTTTCTTGTTCTTTTATTTATTTTGAAATAGGGTTTCTCTGTACATCCCTGGCTTTCCTGGAACTGGCTTTGTAGACCAGGCTGGCCTGAAACTCCCAGATCTGCCTGCCTCTGGCTCCTGAGTGCTGCAGGTGCGTGCCACACACCTGGTTACATATGTATGTAAAGATGAATGTCGTGGTGATTGTCTCCCCCATCTGTTGAGACTTTGAGGAAGACCAAGCTTTTTCTGTGCAGCCTTATGCCAGCCTGTCCCTGGCATGGGCAGCGGGGTTGCTGCTGTTACCACAGGTGCCAACCATTTGAGTCATTTATCAGTTAAGCTTGTGTCATTTTCAAACTTATGCCTGTAACACTTTTTTTGTGTATGAATTTAGGTATTAAACCTAACATTTGTTGTACTGCTGAGCTATATCCTCTAATTCTGTATTCTCTCACATTAGCCAATTAATTTTTTGTAGATAGTCTCATATAGTTCAGGCTGATGTACAACACTTTGTAGCCCAGTTGGCACTGAATTCAAGGTGATCCTTCTGCCTTCTGAGTGCTAGTATTACAGGCATGAGCTACTGTACCTGGCTAGCCAATTTGTTGCTTTATTTAGAAATAATTTTTAGATTTGTTTATTTTATGTGTATGAGTGTTTTGCCTGAATGTTCGTGTGTGCCACAGGTGTGCCTGCTACCTGAGCAGTCAGAAGAGGGTGCTGGATCCCCTGAAACTGAAATCATGGATAATTGTGAACTGCTGTGAGTGCTGGGAACTGAACCCAGGTCTTCTGCAAGAGCAGCCAGTGCTCTTAACTCCTGAGCTCTCTCCAACTCCATTTTACTTTTTTAGAAATGAAAAAAATGTTTTCAGTGTGTGTGTACATGAGTCCAGATGCCCACAGAGACCAGAAGAGGGTGTTGGTGTTGGTTTCTCTGGAGCTGAAGTTATAGGTGGTTGTGAACTGCCACACTTGGGATCCTCTTGCAATAGAAGTATGTTCCAGCCACTAGTTATCCTGTTTAGATAGCATGATTTGTCTTTCTACATTAATAGTTTATTATTATTATTATTATTTTGGTTTTTCAAGGCAGGGTTTCTCTGTGTAGCTTTGGAGCCTGTCCTGGAACTCACCCTGTAGACCAGGCTGGCCTCGAACTCACAGAGATCCACCTGCCTCTGCCTTCCCAGTGCTGGGATTAAAGGCATGCGCCATCACTGCCAGGCTGTAGTTCATTATTCTGTCACCAGCAGATACTGTAGTAGTATGCATAAAAGGAAATGCTGTAATGCCTCCAATGCAGCAATTCTCAGGGCATAGGTTCCAGATGGTTTCTGTTGTGATGTGGTTATTTGTGGACATACTGCTTTTTTGTATGTGTCTTATAGCTGCAAACTTAATTCTTTTCTTATTTATTATAGGTAGTACTTACTATTTTAATACCTCACGGATGAAGCAGAAGAATAAAGACAATGATAAACCCAAAGGCAAGGCCCCTGAAGATGATGAAGGTACACCTGCTTAATGTTTTGAAGTGCCTGCCCCTCTTGTGCCTCATTGTGTACTCTCCTTTTAATAGGGTGAGGCTATTAAGAAGGACACAGAGCCGGGCGGTGGTGGTGCACGCCTTTAATCCCAGCACTCAGGAGGCAGAGGCAGGCGGATCACTGTGAGTTCGAGGCCGGGCTGGACCGACAGCCTCCAAAACCTGTCTCGTAAAAAAAAAAAAACAAAAAAAAAAAAAAAAAAAAGAAAGACACAGTTGGTTGCCTGTCCCTGTGTGAACTGCCCTACTTCTATGATTGCTGAGTCCTTTGTTCTGTCAGAGATGCCTCTATGGACACCTATGTCCCTCAGTCACATTCAGGAATGTCTGAAGGTGGACAGAGTTTCTGTGTTTCTGCACAGAAAGAGTAAATCCTAAATCCTGGGAGTGGGAACTGTGGTGAACCCACATTCCTGAGTGTGTGAAGTCAGCTAGCAGGAGATCATTGAGGAGAGGGCAAATGAGTGGGACAGGTTTGCAGTGGAAGAATCACCACCATTTACGGGCTAATACTGCCCTATTCCAGTTTACAGCCATACTTGGGGAAACTAAGAATGCCCTCATATCTTAGGTTTCACCTTGCTGGAATTAGGACTCATTCAAGAGTGCAAAGCATGTAGGGAATTAAAGTTTGAACTGAACTTTTAGAGCAGCAGCTGCTGCTGCTTCTACTTCTTCTCTTTCTTCTCCTCCTCCTTCTTCTTTCTCTTCTTCTTCCCCTTCTTCTTCTTCTTCTTCCTCCTCCTTCTCCTTTTTTTCCCTCCCCTAGACAGGGTTTCTCAGTGTTGCTTTAGAGCCTTGAAGGCTGGCCTTGAACTCATAGGGATCCACCTGCCTCTGCCTCCGAGTGCTGGGATTAAAGGCGTGTGCCACCAATGCCCGGCCAGGCAGTTTTCTAAGGAAAATGCCTCCATTGTTTCTGCAAGATGAGACTTGTCCTTACCTTCCAGGTTTCTCTACAGGTCATCAGTAGTCAAAATGAATGGTATGGGTCTAGAACTATCTACACGGTGCTCAGAGCAGAAAGGATTTCTGAGCCTGAAAACCTGGGGACTCTTCCCTTGAAATTCAGTAACATCATTTTGTCTTTATTGCCTCCATCCCCCCAGAAGAATTTTGGCAACAAAATTTGCTATTAGTCTTTATGTTGCTGACTGGTGGATGTATCATATGTGAGCTTTGAGGGAGGTTCATTGCTGTAAGCACTTTGAAGATAGTGTGATATCAGAAAAACAAAACTGCTTTGAACTTGAGCTGGTACATTATTAAGCCCAAAGATATGCAAGATATATGTGGGAAGAGATCTTTAGGGGGCTAGAGATATGGCTCAGTGGTTGAAAAGTGTTTACTACTCTTGCAGAGGATATGAGTTCAATTCCTAGCACAAATTATCTGAAATTCTAGTTCCAGGGGATCTATTACCATTTTTTGACTCTGCAGACACTGTACTTAAAGATATCAACCCACACTTAAACATATACATAATTAAAAGCATTTAAGAAAAATCTGAAGTTTTGAGATTATAGACACAAATAAACATGGCACAGATCAATGAGGAACAGGCAAGGTTGGACATCTTGGGAGAGTCTTAGAGGAAGGAGTTGAGCACTGGGCATGGAATGCCAGTTTCTAGTCAATCCCAGGGTCAGGGTTCATTCACTGTCTCTTGTGACGGGATCATGGGAATAGAAGTAAGAGACAATATGATATAGTCTTAAGGCGTAGCATGTGAATTATATTTATTCATTTTTTGACTTTTTGAAATTGAGAGAATAGTCTCAATTTTGTAGCCCAGGCTGAACTTGAACATTCAACTCTCTTGCCCCAGCCTCCCAAGTTCTGGGATTACAGTTATACAACATCATGCTTGCCCCACCCCCACACCTAACAAGACAAGGGTTGTATGTGCTCAGGGTATTTTTGTGTATGGATGTTTTGTCTACATGTGTGTCTATGCATCACATGTGTGCCTACTGCTCTAGGACTGGAGTTCTAGACAGTTGTGCGTCACCAGTGAGTGTTAGGAATTGAACCCAGGCTCTCTGGAAGAGTAGTCAGTGCTCTTTTTTTTAAATATTTATTTATTTATTATATATATAGTGTCGTGCATATCTGCCTGCAGGCCAGATCTCTTTATTGATGATTGTGGGCTACCATGTGGTTGCAAGGAATTGAACTCAGGACCTCTCGAAGATAACCACTGACTCATCTCTCTGACCAAGTCAATGCTCTTAACAGTTGGGCTATCAGCCGGGTGGTGGCGCACGCCTTTGATCCCTGCACTCAGGAGGCAGAGGCAGGCGGATCTCTGAGATTGAGGCCGGGCTAGTCTGACAGCCTCCAAAACAATACAGAGAAACCCTGTCTCGTAAAAAAACAAAAACAAAAACAAAACAAAACAAAAAAAACAGTTGGGCTATCTTTCCAGCCAGTCCTAGGCACTTTTTGAACTCTATTATGTAGCAGAGGATAACCTTGAACATCTGAGCCTTCTATTTCTACCTCCTAAGTGCTAGGCTTGCAGGTATGTGCAACCATACCCAGCTTTTATTTATTTAGTTTAGTTTTGTTTTTCTTCTTTTTCTTTTTTTCTTTTTTTTTTTTTGGTTTTTCCTTTTTTTAGATTTATTTATTTATGATGCATACAGTATTCTGCCTGCATGTATGTCTTTGGGCCAGAAGAGGGCACCAGATCTCATTACAGGTGGTTGTGAGCCACCATGTGGTTGCTGGGAACTGAACTCAGGACCTTTGGAAGAGAAGTCAGTGCTCTTAACCTCTGAGCCATCTCTCCAGCCCTTTTTTTGGTTTTTTGAGACAGGGTTTCTCTGTGGCTTTGGAGGCTGTCCTGGAACTCGCTTGGTAGTCCAGGCTGGTCTCGAACTCACAGAGATCCGCCTGCCTCTGCCTCCCGAGTGCTGGGATTAAAGGCATGTGCCACCAATGCCCGGCTTGTTTTTTTATTTTTTTTTTCGATTCAGTGTTTCTCTGTGGCTTTGGAGGCTGTCCTGGAACTAGCTCTTGTAGACCAGGCTAGTCTCGAACTCACAGAGATCCACCTACCTCTGCCTCCCGAGTGCTGGGATTAAAGGCATGCACTACCAATGCCTGGCAGTTTATATGTATATATATATTTTAATCTTTTATTATTGTTGTGTAAGACAGGGTTTCACTGTGTATTTCTGGTTGTTCTGGAACTCATCTTGTAGATCAGGCTGACCTCAAACTTGTAGAGATCCCCCTGCATCAGCACTCCAGAGAACTGGGATTAAAGATGTGTACTATTTTGGTTTTTTTTCTTTTTTCTTTTTCTTTTTAGTTATGAAGCTGTTGGCTGTTTGCTTGTTTCTTACTGGCTAACTCTGACTTAACCCATAATTGTTAATCTAAGTATTTCTCTTACTGGAGAAAAGGGTCTGGACCTCTTACTCTGGCGGTCTACATCATGTCTGACTCTGCCTCTCTTTCCCAGAATCCTCCTTGACTCCCACTCCCACCTATCTTGCTTCCCTATTGGTCAACAGTGCTTTATTCAACAACCAATAAGAGTCAGATTTACAGAATGACATCTCCCATCATCTCCTCTTTTCTGTCTAAATAAAAAGAAAGGTTTTAATTTTAACATAGTCAAATTATATATAACAGAACAGTTATCAAGTAAGAACTATAATTACAATATTTTGTCCATTAGCATGTAGTAAGATTTAAAGAAAGTATTTTATCATCTATCCTATCTCATATGTAGCTTATCTTTTATCATAACTAAGGAAAACTATAATTATAACTATCTGTCTTCAACTCCACATCAAAGACCACAGAAGGATAATACATAAACACTAGAATTGACAGAGACATCTTGCTACCTGGACAGTCATCCAAAGTTCCTCTGTAATGTTGGGGCATCCTGCCGGGCGTTGGTGGCGCACGCCTTTAATCCCAGCACTCGGGAGGCAGAGGCAGGCGGATCTCTGTGAGTTCGAGGCCAGCCTGGTCTACAAAGTGAATTCCAGGACAGCCTCCAAAACCACAGAGAAACCCTGTCTCGAAAACCAAAAAAAAAAAAAAAAGTAGGAGAAATATACATATCACAAAATTGACCTTGAATTTGTCTCAATAATGAAAATCCATACCAATACAAAGTACTCATTTCTATATCGTAATCCCCTTTTTCCTTTAAAAAGAGACTGGTTGTGATCATTAACCAATTATAAGCAACCCCATTCAAATGAAAACAAAGATTGATAAACAAGCCAGGCATTGGTGGTGCACGCCTTTAATCTTAGTAATAGGGAGGCAGAGGCAGGCGGATCTCTGTGAGTTCGAGGCCAGCCTGGTCTACAGAGAGAGTTCCAGGACAGCCTCCAAAACAATACAGAGAAACCCTGTCTTGAAAAACCACAAAAAAAAAAAAAAAAAAAAAAGGATGTTGCTCATTCCAAACTGCTGCCTGCTGATAAGGGTGGTGCTGTCCATACCATGGGGCTCATGACAAAACTCAGAAACCTGGCTAAGTCATTGTTTTTGTAAGGTTGTATCATCTTAGCTGTTTTAGATGTTGAATCACTTGGGCCACTGCTTCCGGGGGTCTTGGTTCATCAAACCACAGAAGCCTGGAAGGAATCCACAGCTTTCCTTTTTCGGAGAAAAGGGTCCAGACCTCTTACTCTGGTGGTCTACATTGTGTCTCAGGTTTTTTTGTTTTTGCTTTTTTTTTTTTTCTATTTCGGTATTTTTAAGACAGAGTGTCAGGGCCTGGAGACATGGCTCAACAGTTAAGAGCACTGGCTGCTCTTCCAGGAAACCTGACTTCAATTCCCAGCACCCACATATCAGTTCACAATTGTCTGTAACTATAGATCCAGGAGATCTGGCATCATCACACAGACATATATGCAGGCAAAACACAATGCACATAAAATAAAAATAAATAAATTATTGGGAAAAAAAAGACAGAGTGTCATGTATTCCCAGGCTAGCCTTAAACTTGCTATGTAACTAAAGATGACTTTGAACTCTTAATTTTCCTGCCACTACCTCCTAATTACTTGCATTACAGCCAGGTATTACTATTATATATATTTTTAATTATTGTGCATGTCTGTGTACCATATGCATGCCAGAAGTAGATATGGAACTAGAACTGGAGTTACACATGGTTGTGAGCTGCCATTTGGTTATGGTGTCCTTTGGAAAAGTAGCCAGTATGCTACAACCCTATGTTTTAATTTTTATTGTATCTATTTATTTGTGTATTGTGGAGAAGGGGCATGTATACACAGTGTGCTTGTGGAAATTGGGAAACAAATTATAGAAATCAGTTCTGTCTGTTCACCATGTGGGTCCAGTTCATGAAGCCTGGTAGCAAGTGCCTTTACTCTCTGAGCTATTTTGCCAACCTTGGAGTCTTCTGTATGTATGTGCGAGTGTGCTCGTAAACATTTGTGATTGTGATTTTTAGAGACAGGATCTCATTGTGTAGCCCTGGTTGTGCTGTAACTCACAGAGATACACTAGTCTCTTTTTTGTTTGTTTGTTTTTCAAGACAAGGTTTCTCTGTGTAGCCCTGGCTGTCCTGGAACTCGATTTGTAGACCAGGCTGGCCTTGGACTCACAGAGATCCACCTCCCAAATGCTGGTATTAAAGACCTGCACCACTGCACTTGGTATCAACTTGTTTTTTAAATATTACATTTCAATAAATAAGTTTGGGTAACGGGAGAATTCAGCTCTTCCATAGATGAGGAAAATGTTATCTTTTGGGGCAGGAAATTTCAAACTGTCCATCTGCGTTGGCAGTCTGTCAGTCATTTTTCTGTGTCCTGCAGAAAGTCTCGTAGACTCTTTCATGAAGCAGGAACCCTGAAGGACTATTTGAGTTCAGCAGTCACTTTCCTGTGGGTCCTGCATATCCAGATTATACAGCAACAGTCAAGCAGTCCAGGCAAAAGCAGTTTCTTGCCCAAATGGCTAACCTTGCCATGTTGAAAGCAAACTCCATAACAAGTTTCTTCGATGCCCATCTTCCTCTCAGACATAATTGGTGCTGCCAAGAGCAGATATTTCTCATTGTCAAGAAAAACCCTAGGCCGGGCGTTGGTGGCGCACGCCTTTAATCCCAGCACTCGGGAGGCAGAGGCAGGTGGATCTCTGTGAGTTCGAGACCAGCCTGGACTACCAAGTGAGTTCCAGAACAGCCTCCAAAGCTACAGAGAAACCCTGTCTCGAAAAACCAAAAAAAGAAAAAAAAGAAAAAAAGGAAAAAAGAAAAACCCTAAACCATTTTAAATGCCATTTTCTGAAGTCTTTGAAAGGTTTGAAGACTGTTTATCTCAAATATATTTCTGTATATCTAGAAAATCTAACTTACCTAACTATAAATTCTATTATAAGTAACTATCTATAGTCTGTATTCAATTATGCATTACGTTTTAAAAGATCAGTATAAGCACAATACTTAATCAAGAGGAGAAATATACACATCACAAAATTGACCTTGAATTTGTCTCAATAAATGAAAAACAATACCCATACCATAATTCCCCTTTTTACCATTAAAAAGAGATTGGTTGTAATCATTAACTAATTATAAACAATCCCATTTAAATGAAAACAAAGATTTATAAACAAGATGGGAATTAGGACGTCGCTCATTCCAAACTGCTTCATGCTGGAAGGGGGCACTGTTTATACCATGGGGATCATGACAAAACTCAGAAACCTGTATAAGTCCATATTTTCGGGGTCTGTAAGACTGCATCATCTTAGCTGTTTCAGTTGTTGGAACACCTGGTCCACTGCTTCCGGGGGTCTTGGTTCGTCAAACCACAGAAGCCTGGAAAGTCCTGGCTGTCCTGGAGCTCTCTGTGTAGACCAGGATGTCCTTGAACTTACAAAGATCCTCCTGCCTTTGCCTCCCAAGTGCTGGAATACATGAGGAGGTGCTTAGTGTTACTTCAACTTTTTTTTTTAATTTACTGCAACTTGATATGCCTTGCTTTATTGATACTCATGGGAGATTGCCCTTTCCTGGATGGAGACAGGAATGGATTGGGGAGTGTGGTGGGGGAACAGGGAGAGAGACTGGGAGTAGAGAATGCGGCAGGGGAGGGGAGGCTGCAGCCAGATGTAAAATAAATAGATTAAAGGCATGTGCCATCGCTGCCTAGCTTGGGCTTACTCTTGATGTGCCTGATTCTCTCTATGTTCTGTTCAGAAGAGAGGAGACGAAAAGAGCGGGAAGACCAGATGTATCGTGAAAGGCTACGCACTTTGTTCATCATTGCTGTTGTAATGAGCCTGCTGAATTCCCTCAGTACCAGTGGGGGCAGTATTTCTTGGAGCGACTTTGTCAATGAGATGCTGGCTAAAGGCGAGGTGCAGCGTGTGCAGGTGGTTCCCGAAAGTGATGTGGTGGAAGTCTATCTGCATCCTGGAGCCGTGGTGTTTGGCCGGCCTGTGAGTTGGGGTGAAGGCCCTGGGGAGACTGGGGAAGTTGGGACTATCTCTTTTTCAATCAGCCTTTTGATCCTGGGTTTGTCTGGTTGCCTTTGACAAGATGTGTATAGAATAGGGTTTGCTTCAGGGTTCGAGCAGTGCTTCTTAAGGTGGAACTTAAGAAAGGTAGTCAGAGAAACGCTTGACAGGAAAGACAACTCTGATGGGATGTAGAGTGGAAGAGGTGAAAATAAGTGATAGTTGATTCTAAATAGTATCTTCTGGTATGAGAAGATAAGGAGATGAGACCCAGAAGTTGTGCTGAGCCAATCTGGGTCTCAGCAGGGATGGTTGTGAAGTCAGAGGGAGGGGCTTTGTCTCAGGTAATAAAGGTGTGGGAAAGCAAAGGTAACAAGCAGTTACTGGAAACAGTTTACAACCTAGCCCTTAAGTGGATGCTTGGCAGGGATGGATATAGACATAGATTACGAGTCTGCCCTTGAGGGATGTTAAGTAAATACAAGTCAGTGAAGGACTGGAACTCAGAGAGGACAATGAGGGATCGTGCTCACACCAAGATCCCAGCTTGGGAGTCTTGGAAGAATACACATGATGGGTCAAGGGATGGGGATTCAGATCAGGTAGGAAGCTCACTGTCAGACAGCAGGGATATGCCCCACCCTCAGGGTAAGAGTACTTAGCACCTAACAATTGAAGCTGAGATCAGACTCAGAGGAAAACCAATATGAGGTTAAGTGCCATCCTGGTTTGCTTCAGTTCTTAGAGTCTCTCTTATTTCTCCCAAAGTATCCTGAAAGCATTCTGGCAAGATATTGTCAAGAACATAACTCTCCTGTCCATCTTTCCAGATTGTTTCTATGTGAGCCTTAATTAATTAGGTCTCTGATTTTTTTCCAAGTTAAGAGTTTCTCTATGTAGCTTTAGACCAGGCTAGCCTCGAACTCACAGAGATCCACCTGCCTCTGCCACATTCAGCCAACAGACTCTGAATTTTTTCTTTCATCTCCTTCTCATTTTTTATTTGAAGTTGGGTGGCAGGAGTGTAACTGTGAGAGGCCACCTCACTGCTGTCCCCTGCTTCAAGCAGCTATGCCAGGCTGTAGGCACAGTCTGTATTTGCAGGCTCTACTGACTGGAATGAGCCTATTCTTCCATACAGTATGTTTTCTTTCAACAGACCTGTTCTGCACCCCAAAAGGACTCCTTGAGATTCCTCTTTCCTGGCTGTGGGTGGCGGGAGTGTCATCTGGTCCAGCAAGTTCTATTAGATCAGCTCTGTGCTGATAATTTGTAAGAACTAAGACCATGGAACCAACACCCGCTGTTAAACAACAAAAGCCATGTCCACCTAACCAACCTGCATTATATAACAAGATTACTATCTCACAAAAGAACAGCAAAAATAATAAAACCTGAAACTGGTGACCCAGACTTACCATGGGGATAATTGATTTCCTGCAAGTGATTGTTCCTGTAGTGAGTCCCACATGCCAAGGTAAAATTTTACTTATTGCAAAGAATTTCCGTCAGAAAGGGTATCTCCTGAGACCATCTCTCTAGGTTGGACTTGAGAAAACTAGGCCTTTTTAGGCATGGAAATGCTCTCTACAGTGTCCTCTTTGCAGCCCTCGTGTAATCTAGTCATGTAGCCAGCTCTGTGGGCTGGCCTTTCACTCTGTCTTTGCCCACTCTACATTTTGCCCTCAGCGCCTGGCCTTGATGTACCGGATGCAGGTTGCAAATATAGACAAATTTGAAGAAAAGCTTCGAGCAGCTGAAGATGAACTGAACATCGAGAGCAAGGACAGGATTCCCGTTTCCTACAAGCGGACAGGATTCTTTGGAAAGTATGTTAGTTGTCTGTGGCCTTGACCTAATCCAGCTCGGCTTTGTAATATACAACACAGAACAGACAACAAATCTTGAGGGTGCAGATTTGGAAGTACAAATCCCTAGAGCTTTCACTTTCTTTAGTTGTCTGTGCTAGTCTTGCTTTGTTTGTTTTTGATGTTACCAGATAGGGCTTCTCTGTGGCTTTGAGAGCATGTCCTGGAACTTGCTCTGTAGACTAGGATGGCCTCAAACTCACAGAGATTCGCCTGCCTCTGCCTCCCAAGTGCTGAGATCAAAGGCGTGTGCCACCACTGCCGGGCCCCTGTGGTAGTTCTTTTTTTTTTTTTTGGTTTTTCGAGACAGGGTTTCTCTGTGGCTTTGGAGGCTGTCCTGGAACTAGCTCTTGTAGACCAGGCTGGCCTCGAACTCACAGAGATCCGCCTGCCTCTGCCTCCCAAATGCTGGTATTAAAGGCGTGCGCCACCAACGCCCGGCCCTGTGGTAGCTCTTAATTAAATACACCAGGGTTGCTGTTTTCTATAAAAGAAAATGGAACAGATGGAATAGAAAGGGTTGTATTAAGTAGCAATTCTTTCCGAGGCCTGATAGTACTGTTTAGTATATTGGAAGGGACCTTGGAACCCACAGGCATTGCTAGGCTGACAGTCATAGAAGCCAGTGTCTAAAGAGTGGTTTACTGTGAGTTTGTGACCTGAGATGCAGCAAGCCAGTAGCTAGCTTTGAAAATGACTTGTAATCTGCATAGCCCAGATGCTGAAACCTCCTAACCTGAGGCTGAGCTGATTTTATTGTTAAGTGACAAGGAGGTATGGATGGGGTAGGTGGTCCTCTTCTTCCTTCTCATATTGAGAGCCTAATCCCTAATCACAGTTTGATTTTGTTGAGTCTTTTTTTTTTTTTGGTTTACTAATTGAAAATGACAAAATATAACATGTTAGCCTTAGAAGAACCTGCTTTTGGTGAGCGTTGTCACATAGCAGGGTAGGTAAGCCTTTGTTCACTAGTCTAAACACTTGAAAACCTGTGTGGAAGAGGAAATTTGGTAGCATGGGACAAAGAACATGTCTGCACAACCGTTTGCTTTCTGTCTTGGCCTCATATTTAGAGGTCCCAGCTCCTAAGGTTTACTCATCAGTTGCCTTGACAGTGACTTCCACCCCAATAACTGTCTCTGTCTTTCCTTTTTACCCAGTGCCCTCTACGCCCTGGGGATGACAGCAGTGGGCTTGGCCATCCTGTGGTATGTTTTCAGACTGACTGGGATGACAGGAAGGGAAGGTGGATTCAGTGCTTTCGTAAGTTGGACTGCTGGATGTTTGTGTCTAAGAACGTGAACCCTCTATAGCCTATAGGAAAGTCCTCAGGGAATAGGACTTTTTACAGTGTCTGTGATCATCAGCCTGCTTGCCTGCTTGAGGAGTGTGGGATAGCCGGTATTTCCTGACTGGGGGTCCAGTGACCCCACTGTGTATAGGGAACTATGTTCTGTGTGTCCTTTTTTTTTTTTTTTTTTTTTTTTGCAAAATCCTGTATCAGCTGGGAATGGTGCTCTTACTTTTTTTTCCCTCTTATTGGCTAATAGAGAAACATTAAAAATACTTTAAATACTTTAAAGATGCCAGGCAGTGGTGGTGCACGTCTTTAATCTCAGCACTCGGGAGACAGGCGGATCTCTGTGAGTTGGAGACCAGCCTGGTCTACAAGAGCTAGTTCCAGGACAGCCTCCAAAGCCACAGAGAAACCCTGTCTGGAAAAAAAAACAAACAGGAACAGGCATGATATAGGAAAACTCCCCTTCTACTCTTGGAGTATACCTTAGAAAGTATTCTCTCCCTTCTATGGCTTCTCCATCCCTCAGGCTTAGGCAGGGGTTGTAGGCAGTTCCTTTTCTACCCCTAGTAGTGCCTCTCTGTTTTCACTAAGAATGCAAGTCTATTTCTGACCCCTTAGCTAAAGGAGACTTTTTCATCTGGTGTGCTGTTGGTGATTAACCCGGGCCTTGTTCATGCTAGGTGAACTCTCTACCATTGAACTATGCTCGTTACCCTAAGGAGTTCATGTTTGTCTTTTCCTTCCCTCCTTCTTTCCTTCCCTCCCTCCCTCCTCCCCTTCCTCCCTTCCTTCCTTTTTCTTTCTTTTTTCTGAGATGGGTTTTCACTATGCAGTCCTGATACTCTGTGTAGACCAGGCTAGCATGTAATTTACAGAGGTCTACCTGCCTCTGCCCTGAAAGCTGGAATACAGGATATGAGTCACCAGGCCCAAAAAGTGTTGTTTTGGTTTTTGTTTTTCAAGACAGGGTTTCTCTGTGTAACCATTGCTGTCCTGAAACTTGCTCTATAGACCAGGTTGACCTCAAACTCAGAGATCCATCTGCCTCTGCCTCCGTGGTGCTGGGATTAAAGGTTTACCAGGTCACCACCCAGCTCCAAAGAGTTTTTTTGTTTTTTGTTTGTTTATTATTATTATTATTTTGGGTTTTTCAAGACAGGGTTTTGTTTTGGAGGCTGTCCTGGAATTCACTCTGTAGACCAGGCTGGCCTCAAACTCACAGAGCTCCCCCTGTCTCTGCCTCCTGAGTTCTGGGATTAAAGGTGTGCACCACCAACGCCTGGCTTGTTTTATTTTTTAAGACACGGTTTCTGTTATGGCTCTGGATGTCCTGGAACACACTCTGTATATCAGAGTGGCCTCTAACTCACAGAGATCTGCCTACCTCTGCCTCTGCCTCCCAAGTGCTGGGATTAAAGGCATGACCCATCACCACCCAGCTACATATTTAACTTTTTAAATTTTATTTTTACTTTATGTATATGAGTGTTTTGCCTGCATGTATTTGCATCCTGTACATGCAGTGCATACAGAGACCAGAAGAGAGTGCTGAATCTCCTGAATCTCAAGTTATCAAAGGTTGTCTCTATGTGGGTGCTAGTAATTGAACCTCTGTAGGAAAAAGTGATCTTAACCAGTGAACCATCTCTCCGGTTCTGTTTTTTTAAAAGGCAAATTGTTAGATTACTTCTTTCTAATATAAACATTACAAACCAAAGATTCCCCTTGTGTATTTGAAGTGGTCTGTGATCTCCATTGTAATGGAGGGAATAGGCTGATGGGACACTGCTCCTAGGCTGTAAGAGGAAGCGGCTCCACTGCAGATGGACATATAGGTTTGTGTTAGGTCAGTCAGATAGCAACTACTGCTTTCCTATTTTGCTAGGGATGCTCAGCTTTCTCCCCTGACTCTTTCTGTACAGAATCAGCTGAAAATGGCACGTTTCACTATTGTGGATGGGAAGACAGGGAAAGGAGTCAGCTTCCAAGATGTGGCAGGAATGCATGAAGCCAAATTGGAAGTCCGAGAGTTTGTGGATTATCTGAAGGTGAGACTCATGTCTTAATCCCATGAGAGATGTGAGTAGGTGGTGACACATCTTCTCTCTAAGAAAGAAGGCTATGGGGAGCAGAAACTTTGAGACTGCAATTTGTTCCATGAGTTAGATGTTACATGCTAAAGGTGACATTATCATCTCATAGGTACAATAAAATGTGTCTGTACCATTGGGAGGCAGAGGCAGTCAGATCTCTATGAATTCAAGGTCAGTCTGATCTACAGAACAAGTGCCAGACAGGCTCCAAAGCTACACAGAGAAACCCTACCTAGAAAAACCAAAAAAAGGATGTATCTGTACCTGGTAAACCAACAATGCCCAGTATACAATTGGCCATCAAAAGAGAAGAGTGTAATAGTCTACTTCAACTACACATCTCTTCTTTTGGAGTTGAGACCCTAGGAAGCTCTTTGCTTTTCCTGGAACCATTGAAACTATAGCCGATTCTTAACTATTCTTCTTACGAGTCACTTAAATGTTCTCTGTGAAATGCTGAGTACTTAGTGTCACATTTCTGTTCCTGCCTAGAGCCCAGAGCGTTTCCTTCAGCTTGGTGCCAAGGTTCCAAAGGGTGCCCTGTTACTGGGACCCCCTGGTTGTGGGAAGACACTGTTGGCCAAGGCAGTAGCCACAGAGGCTCAGGTGCCCTTTTTAGCAATGGCTGGCCCGGAGTTTGTCGAGGTAATTGGAGGTAGGTATGAGCTAGAAGTATGGGCAAGTTTATTGGCCTAGTACCTGAGATGACTTTTCACATAACCCTCCCTAACATGGATGGGGAGCTGAGTGGAACAGAGAAGGACAGACATAACCCAAGTTAAAATAAGCTTTGGTCCAAGCTAAGCAGAAGTGGTGGTATACGCCTGTAATTTTCAGCATTTGGGAGGCAGAGGCAGGTGGATCTCTTGAATTTGAGGCCAGCATTGGTCTACACAGTGAGTTCCAGGATATCCAGAGCCACACAAAGAAAACCTGTCTCAAACAAACAAACAAAAAAAAAACCAAAAGCTTTGGTCCACATCCACTTGGCAATTATGTTCTTTTGTTTCTGTTTTGATTTGTGGCTTGGGAAGTCCAGATGGCAAGATTCTCGGCAGAAATTGGCCCGTTAGATATAGGCATCTTTGGTGGAAGATTTTGCTTGGCTGTGACCCGAAAACAGGATTTGATTTCCTTTATCTGCCTATGTTCTGACACTCTGTGTCCCCTCAGGACTGGGAGCTGCCCGTGTGCGAAGCCTCTTCAAGGAAGCCCGAGCGCGAGCCCCTTGCATAGTGTACATTGATGAGATTGATGCTGTGGGAAAGAAGCGTTCTACCTCCATGTCCGGCTTTTCCAACACAGAGGAAGAACAGACCCTCAACCAGCTGCTGGTTGAGATGGACGGTCAGTGCCCAGCTTGCCTCATCATACACTGTGTGCTAGGAGGGGACTGATTCAGAGCAGATGAATCTGGTCACATTTTCATGAGTAGGGGTATTTTCTTTTCTTTAGCCACTGGGGTGTGTGTGTGTGTGTGTGTGTGTGTGTGTGTGTGTGTAAACTTTTGTGTGTGTGTATGTGTGTGTGTTTTTTGTTTTTTTTTTTTTTTTTTGAGATAGGGTTTCTCTGTATTGCTTTGGAGCCTGTCCTGGAACTCACTATGTAGATCAGGCTGGCTTCGAACTCACAGACAGAGATCCACCTGCCTCTGCCTCCTGAGTGCTGGGATTAAAGGCGTGCACCACCGGCGTCACTGTTGTATATTGCTGTCCTCTCTTGCCCTAGTGAGAACATTATACAGATAATATTCTAGATGTTGACATCTAAAAGCAAGTCAGCTTAAGAGTTGTCCATCCATTTTCTACCTTTAAGAAACTTAACTTTGGGGACTGGAGAGAGGACCTCGTGGTTAAAAGTACTTGTTGTTATTACAGAGGATCTGGGTTTGGTTTCCAGCATCCACATGGAGGCTTTCAACCATCTGTAAGTCCAGTTCCTTGGCATCCAGTGCCCTTCTAATCTGCAGGCATCAGGCACACATATGGTGCATATAACATACTTGCAAGCAGAACATTCATAGAGGTAAAATTAGTAAATATAAGGGAAATAAACCTTTTCTTTTTCATTTCTTTCATACTGGTGAGTAAATCCAGGGCTTCACACATGTTAGGTGATCACTGAAATTCAGTAGTCAAATTTGGTCAAAGGGAAGCCAGGACTGTGAGTGGTGACAACTCATAGTGAGGCCTCTAAGCTGCTGAGTCCCCCTCAATTTCTCGGTTGTGTGTCTCTGTGCTCCTGGAGTGAGAGGGTTGAGCGGGGTCTTGCGATTCTTGTGTTACAACAAAGGGTACCCATATGTGACTGTGAAGGAGATTTTTGGACTAACCTCAGTGGCATTGCTTTTCTTTGTAATGAAGAAACCCAGTGAGGGAGATGTGGACTTTATTTTCTTTTGAACTATTTCTAGAAGACTCATCCCTTAAAAGATTTTCTGATAATTACATGAATAAAGTTTATTTGTGTGTGGAAAGGGGTACATTCCATGGCAGGTATATAATCAGAAGATGAATTTTAATGAGTTGGTTCTCTCTTTCCATTGTATGGGTCTTGGGGATCAAACTTAAATCATCAGGCTTGGCAATAAGACCATTTATCAGCTGAGTCATCTCACTGTTCTACTCTCTCTCTCTGTCTGTCTGTCTGTCTGTCTGTCTGCTCTCTCTCTCTCTCTCTCTCTGTCTGTCTCTCTCTCTCTATCTCTCACTCTCTTTCTCTCTCTGTGGGTGTGTGTGGGTATGTGGTAGTGGTATGTTTGGTTTTATTTGATGTAAATGTTTTTATAGTTAAAACATAAAATTGACAATTTTAACCTCATGGTTTTTGTTTTTGTTTTGAGACACGTCTCACTATATAATCCCAGCTGGCCTAGAACTTCTTATGCAGACTAGTCTAATCTGAAATTCACAGGGATTCAATTGCCTCTGCCTCCTAAATGCTAGGATTAAAGTTGTGTACCATCATGACTGGTTTGTTTATTTTTGTTTTATTTTATGAATATGCATGAACATGAAAAGTTCAGAAGAAGTTTTGGTTCCTTGGAGCTGGAGTTAGGGTGCTTGTGAGCTGCTGACAAGAGTTCTGGTACTGAATCATGTCCTCTGGAAGAGCGGCAAGTGCTCTTGCTCTGAACCAACCCTTCAGCCCTTTGGTTTTTGTGTTTGAGATAAGATTTCAATATGTGACTCTACGGCTGGCCTCAAACTCCTGATCCTCCTGCCTCAGCCTCCTGAGGCCTGGGATTACTAGTATGTGACTCCATACCCAGCTTGAGGTTGATCTTTGCGTATTCTTCAATTATAGGTTTTAGGTTTATATCTTATAGAGACACTCTTCCCAAGCCATTTTTTATATTGATGAGAGGCATTTCTTTGGTTTGGTTTTTCAAGTTAGGATTTCTTGTATAACAGCTCTAAGAAGAAAACTTAGCATTGATATGAAAGAGTTTAAACCGAACAAAACCTTTTCAGTCTCTTCAAAGTTTCTTGCTCCTTATGGTCGGTGCCAGCTCCACTGCCCTTATCCAGGTCCAGTGCAGTCTCATGTGGCCCAGAGTGGTCTTGGCTCTGCGTTTCTTCCAGTCTTTTGACGTGGATAGTAACACTCTTTGCAGGACAGTTGTGTTAAAGACATCTTTGGGGGGACTGTGATGTTGAGGTTTTTTTGTGTTGTTTTGTTTTGGAGGGGTTGTTTTGTTTGGGTTTGGTGTTTTTTTTTTCCCCCCCCCCAGACAGGGTTTCTCTGTATAACAGCCCTAGCTATCCTGGAACTAGCTCTGTAGATCAGGCTGGCCTTGAACTCATAGAGATTCACTGAGTGCTGGGATTAAAGGCATGTATCACCACTGATCAGCTGTGTGATGTGTTTTTAAGGCCAGGTGAAACATTTATTTTGATAGGAACAGTTCAATAATATGATGACCCTCAGCGCAGTAAACACTAACACATCCTTGGTGGGGGACTATAAAGTGGAGAGTGATAGGAGAGGACGCATGATATCTTCATACACTGATACATACTTGCACCTACATACATACACATGCATGTGTTTGCACTGCTACCCACACATGCACATGAGAATTCAACTTCTAGCTATTGTGATTCAGATGGGTTGGTGCACATTGGAAGTTATTTCATGAACTGTAAAGTTGCTACAGGTTTAAAAAATCAAAGTACAGACTGGGCAGTGTTAATGCCAGCAGAGGCAGGCAGGTCTCTGTGAGTTCAAGGCCAGCCTGGTTTACAGAGCAAGTTCTAGGACAGCTAGGGCTATACAGAGAAATCCTGTCTCAAAAAACTCAAAATAAATAGTAAATGACCAAAGGGTTATTCTAACAATGAAGAGGAAAAGTTATATTGTTGAGAAGATATGAGAATGGTTACATATAGAGCTGCTGCACAGCCCTCCTATTTCCTGTCCCTTTTGTTGTCCAGTTGTCTGTCCACATATAAGTTCAGAGCTGGTGGCAGGAGCAACAAAGACCTAACAGCTGCTTTGCACACCAACAGCAGGTGCTCAGTGTCAAGTTTACAGAGCACTAAATGCTTTGGGAGATACGGGTGGAGTAGTTCCCTGTGGAGAACAGCGTGCTGCTAGAAACTCATGGAAACTGTCAGACCAGGCCCAGGAACCTGGCATGAAGGTCTTTCCTGTCTCAGCTATGGCTCTGTGATTTGTGCAGTGAGGCTGAACACATATCCCTCATCCTTCTGAACCAGGCATCCTTGATCATGAAGAACACTCCAATGAACCCTTCTCCTGTGGCTCTTTTCCTCCTCAAAGATATATTTTATTAAACAGGGGCTTAAATGAATTTCATAACATTACTACTGAACTAGAAAATTAAATCTGTTAGCCAGTTTGTTGCTTCAGACAGCTTTACAAGGATAGAGACCCATCTTTCTCAAGAACTTTGAGTCTACTAGAAAGCATGACATTTTTCTGAGCTGAATTTCTCTGAACTACCATAAAAATAGCTATTTGTCCCCCAGGGTTGGCTGAGGAACTGGTTTCTTGTCAAGTTGGCCCAGCACTAACAAGTCTCTTTGTGCTCTCACAGCTGTGTACACTGGTTCCTTCAGATGCTCTGAGACTAGTCTTTGTTGTCTTCTCAGGAAGAGCAATTTCTGTTCATTGAAGTGCAGAGGAGGGAGCTGAGCGGATGTTGTGCTGGTCGTGGGAAAAACTCAAGGGAATGAGAAATCCCAGTCATAGAGGCCTAAGCACAGGTGCTATGGGCATTTCTGGGACTGTAAAGTTTATACAAGAGAGCCTAAGGCAAGAGCACCAGCTTCCCACTTGGTTACCACAAGTAACCATAGCTGTACTTTTAGAGGAAGGGTGTTTTAACATGGAGTGTTCTGCTGTAGTATATATATATCTTGTACAAGTTTTTGTTTGGGGAAACACAAATACAGAGTGTGAATGCTGATTCCACATGGGAATCATTTGAAAATCCTAACAGGGACAAGCATGATGGTTCACACTCTTAATCCTTAGTCCTAGTTCCTGGGTGGCAGAGACAGGTAGATCTCTGTGAGTTTGGGGGTAGCCTGGTAATAGCAAGCTCCAGGCTAGTCAGAACTACATAGTGAGACCCTGTTTCAAGGGAAAAGAAAAATCTTAATAGGGCTTGGGGAGTGGCTCAGTGACAGAGCTCTTGCCTTGTATGCATGAGATACTGGTTTATATTTTAAAAACTGCGAGCTGGTCAGGTGGTGGTGGTGCATGCTTTTAATTCCAGCACTTGGGAGGCAGAGGTAGGTGGATCTCTGTAAGTTCCAGACCAGCTTGATCTACAAAGCAAGTTCCAGGACAGGCCCCAAATCTACACAGAGAAACCCTGTCTCGAAAAACAAACAAAACAAAACAAAACAAAACAAAACAAAAACCGAAAGGAAGGAAACAGGCTGGAAATATGACTCCACAGTTAAGAGCACTTGTTCTAACCAGTCATGGTGGAGTGCATGCCTTTAATCCCAACACTCAGGAGGCAGAAGTGGTCAGATCTCTGTGAGTTCAAGGCTACCTCATCTACAGAGGAAATTCTAGTGTCACATGGTGAGACCCTGTCTCAACAACTACAACAAACAAAAAGAATACGTGTTGCCCTTGCAGAGCAACCATCTGCAACTCCAGTTCCAGAGGCTGGGACACCCTCTTCTACATTGACCAGGCACACACATTGTGCACATACATGCATATAGGCGAAACACTCATACACATAAACAACAGAAAGGGAATCTAATTAAAATTTTAAAATAGTAATTAGAAAGGAAGGAAGAAGACAGATGAAGTGGTACATACTTGCATTTCAGCATTCAGGAGGCTGAGGCAGAAAGATCTGTAATCTGAAGTCAGCCTGGGCTCTATAGTGAGGTCTTACCTAAAAAACAAACATTCCAGCACTTGGGAGGATGAGAAAGGTGAATTTCTGTGAGTGCAAGGTCAGTCTGGTCTACATAGATAGTACCAGGATAGCCAGAGCTTCATAGAGAAACACTGTCTCAGCCCCCCTTCCCACCCCCTCCCCACCCCACTCCCCAAAAACATTAAGAAAGCATTATCACAGCCATGTTTACTTATTGTTTATTTTTACCTACACCTGAGTTTGTGGGTTGACTTTTGTTTTTTGTTTTATATTTTATTTATTTATTGTGTATACAGCCTTCTGCCTGCATGCCAGCAGAGGGTACCAGATCTCATTCAAGGTGGTTGTAAGCCACCATGTGGTTGCCGGGAATTGAACTCAGGACCTCTGGAAGAACAGTCATTGCTCTTAACCGCTGAGCCATCTCTCCAGCCCAAAATAGACTAGTCAGGTGCAGTAGTGAGAAGGGGGGTAAGTATAGAACATAAGTTCAATCTGTAACTGACTGTGAACAATCAATTGAGATAACTCACTACCTTCGGACCAGCCTGATTTTTGTTTTTGTTTTTGTTTGTTTGTTTGTTTTTTGGTTTTTTGAGACAGGGTTTCTCTGTGGCTTTGGAGGCTGTCCTGAAACTAGCTCTTGTAGACCAGGCTGGCCTCGAACTCACAGAGATCCGCCTGCCTCTGCCTCCCAAGTGCTGGGATTAAAGGCGTGCACCACCACTGCCTGGCCGGGGTTTTTTTTTTTTTTTTTTTTTTTGGAGACATATTTTCTCTGTGTAGCCTTGGCTACCCTAGAACTTACTCTGTAGACCAGGCTGGCCTCAAACTCACAGATCTGCCTGCCTCTGCCTCTCAAGTCCTGGGATCAAAGGCGTGTGACACCATCGCCTAGCCTGACCTTGTAATTTTTTAAAAATTATATTTTATTTACATTCAAGGGTAGAGAATATGCATATATTCCACAATATACATGTAGAAGAAAGAGGACAAATTGTCTGTTCTCTTCACTTGGGATCTTGGATGTTGAACTCAAATTGTCAGAAAACTCTCTTACCCACTGAACCATCTTGCTGACCTTGCCATAGCTTTTAGGCATCTAGGTAGCCCAATCCTTACAGTAGAAGTGAGTGTATTTTGCACAGTTTGCAGGATACATATCCTCATAACTATGTCAGGTGAGTGAGTAACAGAACAGACACAGCCTGGGATTCAATTGTTATATCATACCCTACTGGTAAATACCTATTCTTCTAATCACTCAGACTGCTTATTACCCTTCAATGGAGTCATTAACATTTCAGGTCAGACTATGGCCCAGGAGTTCAGTTTGGTTTTTAGCTGTGGGTCCTCTGCTTCTGTCAGCCACTGGATGAGGGTTCTAGGATGGCATATAAGGTAATCATCAGGGAGGGCTTTTAAGGTAGCCTTAATGCCAGTTGGTATCATTTTTGTAGATCTGTGAAGATGTCACTAGTGCCAGATCTCTCCTCCAACTTATAATGGCTCCCTCTATTATGGTATCTCTCATCCTTCTCTCCTCTATTCTTGCCCTGGCTCAACCTTCCTGCTCCCCCCCTCACCCAACCCCTGTGTCCTCTTCTCCCCTCCTCTTCTCCCCCTCTCTTTCTCCCATCTCCCTCTTCCCTCCCCCCTGCTCCCAATGACTTTTTAAATTTTTTTTATTTAAATGAAAAACAATCCTATTTTACATACCAATCCCAGTTCCCTCTCCCTCCCATCTTCCCACTCCCCCACCATCTCCCATCCCATCCCCCCATCCACTCCTCAGAGAGGGTGAGGCCTCCCTTGGGGGATCATCAAAGTCTGTCACATCATTTAGGGCAGGACTGAGGCCCTCCTCCCTGTATCTAGGCTGAGAGAGTATCCCTCCATAGGGAATGGGCTCCAGTCCTGAAATTCACAGGCAAATGGATGTAATTAAAGAAACCATCCTGAGTGAGGTAACCCAGACACAGAAACACAAACATGGTATGTACTCACTAATAAGTTGGTATTAGACATAGAACAAAGGACAACCAGCCTACAACCCACAACCACAGGGAAGCTAGGAAACAAGGAGGACCATAAGAGAGACATTCATGGGCCCCCAAGAAGGGGTAATGGACAAGGTCTCCTGAGCATCTGGCTTTTACATGAGTCCTGAAAATTTAAACATCAAGTCCTTATGCTTGCATAGCAAATGTTTTTTTCTGAATGAACCATCTCTCCAGCATGTTGTAATTTTTTTGTTTAGTTTTTGTTTGTTTTTTTTGGGGGGGTGAGGAGAACAAGGTCTTACTGTGCAGCTTTGGCTGGCCTGGAACTTACAGAGTTCCATTTGCCTCTGCCTCCAAAGGCAGGGATTAAAGAAATATGTTATCATTCTCAGCTCGTTGTGTTTTGATACAGGGTCTCTTGTAGTCTAGGCTGGCTTTGAACCTCCCTTGTAACTCAGGGTGATTTTGATTCTCTTACGTCACTCTCTAAAGTGATGGGGATGCAGATGTGTGCTATCAGTTCTGGCTCCTTAATTTATTTTTTTATTTTGAGATAAACTCTCACTAGTTTTCTAATATGGCCTTGCACTTGCCATCCTCCTGTCTCATCCTTCCAAATATCTGGGTACAGGCCTGGTACACTTTTGTATATAATCTGTGTAATTTTAGATTTCCAGGGCACCTGGACAGAAGACATTTAAGAAGCATGAGTATGCTGGGTGTAATGGAATATACCCTTAATCCCATACTCAGAAAACAAAGGCAGGCAGAGGCCAGTTTGATCTGTATAGCAGGCTTCAAGCCAACCAGGGCTACTGAGATTGATAGTATCTCATTAAAACAACCAAAAGAACCAGAGCATGAAACCAGGAAGGTCTTTGGGCAGAATGTTTTGTGTGGATCTCCCTTAGCTACCCTATCTCTAGCCTCTCATCTTCTTGCCTTCTGTGTTATTATCACTCTAACAATGGCTCAGGTGTCCAGAGGAACCTTGGAGCTATGGCAGAAGGTAGTTTCTGTGGTGCCTATTTGAGTCTGATATCATTTTAAACAATGAGCACTGTTTCTAGGCATCTGCTTGGCTTTGGCAAGGTGACCTTCTGCCTTGCTCTGCCCTTGAAGGCTCAGTGGATATTGTCACTATTATGATTTGTCAAGTTTAAAGTGTGAAAAGGAGGATGATTTTCCTCCCTCCCTCCCTCCTTCCCTCCCTCTCTTCTGAGACTCTCATGTATCCTAGACCTAGAATGCAGTATGTGGCTGAGGGTTACCTTGAACTTCAGATCATCCTGCCTCCAGAGAGCTAGTGTTTACAGGTATGTGCCACCATGCCTGGTTTATGTGATTCTGAGGATTGAACCCAGGGCTTCCTGCATAGTAGACAAACACTCTAGCAGTTGACCTACATTCTCAGCCTCCTTCCCAACTTCTTTAGAAAGAAAGTTCTTAAAGTTGTTGTTGTTGCTGCTGTTTTGTTTGTTTTGGGAGGAGGTCTCTATGTCTTGGCTCTCCTGGAACTTGCCAGGTAGTCCAGGCTGACCTAAAACTCACAGATACTCTCTTGCCTCTGCCTCCCAAATGATGGGAGTAAAGTGGTATGCAACACCACACCTGGCTATAAACCTTTTTGTGTAGTTGATTTTTTTTTCCCCAGTCAAATCTAGTCAAGCATCTGGGGTGGTTTCTGAACCATTTTTCAAAAAACGATAGGTGTACAAATATTTTGCCTGTGTTTATATATGTGTACTACATGTGTGCCTTGTGCCTATGGATGTCAAAAGAAGACAGACCTCCTGGAACTAGACTTAGAGATAATTGTGAGCCACCTGATGTAGGTGCTGGGAACAAAACCTGGGTCCTCTGCAAGAGTAGCACTGTTTTTAACCGCTAAGTCATCTCTCCAGCCCCACTTTTAATATCTTGCACAAGAAACCTCATGCCTAAACCCAGGTATTAAACTGTTTAGATATCATGGTAAAAATGGCTGCAGCTCAGCAAGAACAATAGCTCCTTGGGATGAACCTTTACTACTCCCTTGCCAGGGATGCCACCTGCGTCTCCTGGAGGTTTTGAGCAGTTCTGCCTCCACATATGACCAAGGGAAACTGCTGTTGTTGGAAAACAAACAAACACCTTCATACTTGGGCATGACTTTGGAAGCCATTGGAAAGGTGCCTCCACCTCATCATCCTGTTCAGAAGGAATCTGGAGTTCTTTTTTTTTCCCTGAACCTTTAGTTTTCCCCTGGTATGTCCTGAATTGGGTAGTCATTGGGAAAAGTCATTTTGTTGAAATTTCCCACCTCAAAGGCCACTGTCTGCTATGTTCTCTCAGGAATGGGTACCACAGACCATGTCATCGTCTTGGCATCCACGAATCGAGCTGATGTTTTGGACAATGCTCTGATGAGGCCAGGTCGACTCGATAGGCATGTCTTCATTGATCTTCCCACTCTTCAGGTCAGAACTGCTGGGAAGGATGGGGCAACCAGTTTTCCATAGCACATTTCTTGTGGCCTAGGCCACAACCTTCCTTCCCTGCCTGAGACAACAAGTTCTAGTTTTATAGTTGTCATAGTTATTTTCTCTAGGTCCTAGGCTTGGTGTGATACTACTATGATTCTTGGTGCCCAAGTAAGTGTTGATGACCCCTCTGGGCACCATGATACCCAATGTCATTTTGTAGTTGTTTTGGTTTGGTTTTTGAAATAGAGTCTTACTATGTAGCCCAGGCTGGCCTTGAACTTATGATTTTCCAGCTTCTACTTATTTCACTGCTGGGATTACAGGGTCCTGATAATGGGGCTTGCTCAGTATTTACTCACTGCTTTTTCTTAGTTTCACAGTGAGCTCATTTGCCCAGTGTGTTGTATCTTACTTGAGTGTGTGGAGTTGACTGCACTGGTCTAGGTTGAGGTGGCTTTTTATTTTTTGTTTTGTTTTGTTTTTTGAGACAAGGTTTCTCTGTGTAGCCCTGGCTATCCTGGAGCTCTTCTGCAAACCAAGCTGGCCTCAATCTCAGAGATCCATTTGCCTCTGCCTCCCAAGTGCTAGGAATAAAGGTGTGAGCCACCACTGCCTGGCTTAGTTGAGTTTTGTAGTAAATTCTTTTGAAATAAAAATGAAGGCATCTCTCCTTTCCATCTTGAATTTTGTGAGAAGTCTTGAAATTTTTCATCCCTCCCTCTTAGATTTATTTATTTATGCATTTCTATGTATATGAGAGTTTGTCTGTATGAATGCATCTATACCATGTGTGTGCCTAGTACCAGAGGAGGACAAAAGAGAGTATCAGATCCCTTGGGTCCTCTATAACTAGAGTTACAGATAATTGTGAAACTACCATGTGGATACTAGGAACCGATCCCAGGTCCTCAGAAAGAGCAACATGCTCCTAAGCCTCTAATCATCTTGTCTCTCGTAATTACACTTGACTTTGTCTTGGAGTGGTATCCAACGAAAGTCCAAGAAACCAGGGTTTTCTGCCCTGGTAGCCTCTTTCTCACAAGCTTCTGTTTGGTCCTCTACATAGTCAAAGAAGCTACATTACAGCCTTGAGAGAGCAGGAATTGGGTAGATAGAGGGTCTGTGTAGAAGGAAGGAGAGCAAACCTAAGTACTGGGTAATTGGTTAATGCCCCTGGACAGAGATGTGTGGGGTAGCCCCAGTAATCCCCACTTTACATAAGAGGAACCGGGTGTCTCCTGACAATGTCAGAAATTTTATGTCAGGATCCAGAATGTGTAACTTGCAGAATTTTTATGGACTAAATCTTTGCTATGTGTGATATGCTTTACTTATATTCTGTTACATTTATTTTCTTTTCATCTTTAAATTAATGTTTGGAGTTTTCTAAATTGGTTTTCACAACCATGGATAAGAATGCAGAAGCCAGTGTTTCCTGTAATCTTCACAAGTTTCATTCATGGAGTTTATGAGAGAAGGGTTTGACTTGTTAGCCAAGTGTTAATTCAGCTTTGTCTTCCTTATTTGTGACAGGAGAGACGGGAGATTTTCGAGCAGCACCTGAAAGGCCTGAAGTTGACCCAGCCTAGCAGTTTTTACTCCCAGCGGCTGGCAGAGCTGACACCAGGATTCAGTGGTATGACCTCAACCTGGGACATGTATTCATGATGGAGAGCCTCTGTCTTCCCATGCGAGTGCTGTCCCTGTTCTGAGTCATTAATCAGCCCACATCTGGATGAGATCAAGTTCAAATGCAAGCAGCAAAGGGACAGAAAAGAGAAACTTTCTTCCTTCCAGATGTTGGAAGCAATAGCAAGAAGTATTATAGCTCACCTACTTCACAGGTAGCAGCTGTGATGTCTCTACCAAAGAATCAGGCAGCAGCATCATGGTCCTAGAGCTTCTGTCATAGGGGGACTGTGAGACAGTCTGGCAGTGTCTCCTGTGTTGTGTTTGCATAGAGAACACCTTCCAGTTTAGACTACTCCACCAGGCTTCCTACACACAGTCCCCATGTGATTTCCAGTGAAGTAGAAATCACAATTAGGTGCTTGCAATGGTGGTTCACACCTTTAATCTCAGCTCTCAGGAAGCAGGGACAGGTGATCTCTGTGAGTTCCCAGACAGGCAGGGCTACACAGAGAAACCCTACCTCAAAAAACAAAAAACAAAAACAAAAAAGAAATCACAGTTAGTTTCCTTTCTGCATAGCTCTCATTTTAAAGGTTAATGTGCGTTTGAAAGTACCTTGAGCTGGTCGGTGGTGCATGCCTTTAATCCCAGCACTTGGGAGGCTCACTGTAAGTTTGAGACCAGCCTGGTCTACAGCGTAAGTTCCAGGACAGGCGCCAAAGCAATACAGAGAAACCCTGTCTTGAAAAAAAAATGCCCTGAAAACCAGGCTGGTGTTTTTTTTGTTTGTTTGTTTGTTTATTTTCTATTTCATGTGCATTGGCATGTATGCCTGTAATCTTAATCACTTGAGAGGCTGAGACATAAGGACTGCTGTGAGTTTAAGGGCAGGCTAGGCTATAGCATGAGACCCCGTCTCTAAAATTTAAAAAAAAATTGCTCTTGGACTACTTTCTTCCTTTTTGATTGCCCTTCAGTCTTTAATAGAATTTGTATACGTGAGAGCCCTTTGTTCTTGCTCTTTTGTACACATAAGAAGTGTCAGGTGACATAAAACAGTGCAGAAAAGACAGGCAAGGGACTGTAAGATCCAGAATCGCATAGCATGGCAGTGCTTCAGCCAGCTGCCCTGGAGAGGACTTCTGGGATAGCACAATTGTCTGCCACCTGCCTCCTCCTACAGTTCACCACTGGCAACTTTTCGTTTCCTTCCTCTCCCCTCCCTCCTTCCCTCCCTCTTCCCTTCCTTCCCCCTCCCTTCTTCCTTCCTTTCCTTTCCTTTTTGGTCCTTTGTTATTTTGAGACAAAGTTCCTTTATGCAGGCTATGCTTGCCTAGATTGCCTAGAACTTGTAGTCCTCTTGCCTCAGCCTCCCCAGTAATGGAATCATAGGCCTGTGCCCCTATGGCTGGCTCTTTTGCCTTTTTGTTTTTCGTCATTAAAAGCTGAGTCTCCTTCCTTCTCTCTCCTTTTCCTAAATGCTGACAGGGAAGAGCCAGCACCATTCCCCATCCCTGCCTGTGGTTTGTGTTGACAGGCGCTGACATCGCCAACATCTGCAATGAGGCCGCACTGCATGCTGCACGGGAGGGGCACACATCTGTCCACACGCTCAACTTTGAGTATGCCGTGGAGCGTGTCATTGCTGGTATGAGGACCACATCCCTTGTTAAGGCCTTGTTGGGGTTGAAGCTTTCAGACAACCAGTCAGAAGTTGTCTATGCCAGACAAGCTAGGCGTGGGGTAGGTGGAACTTGACCCAGGTTCTATTGTTCTGTCATAAGTAGCAAGGAATTATTACTTTTCCTCCACATGAGATATTGTAAACTTACCTCAGAACAGACCTACTCCTCAAGCAAATATAAAAACATCTTTGGGCTGGAGAGGTGGCTCAGAGGTTAAGAGTGCTAACTGTTCTTCCAGGAGTCCTGAGTTCAATTCCCAGCAACCACATGGTGGCTCACAGCCATCTACAATTCAGTCTGGTGCCCTCTTCTGGTATATAGGCAGAACACTGTATATGTGATAAATAAATAAATCTTTAAAAAAAAATCTTCAAAAGCCAGGTGGTGGTGGCACATGCCTTTAGTCCCAGCACTCAGGAGGCAGAGGCAGGCGGATCTCTGTGAGTTCAAGACCAGTCTGGTCTACAAGAGCTAGTTCCAGGACAGCCTCCAGAGCCACAGAGAAACCCTGTCTCAGAAACTGCCCCCCCAAAAAAATATTTTGATGGTTCCCAAGAAGCCTTCCATTTCTTCCCTAGAACTCCCTTGAGATTGTGTGTTAAGAGTCTGTGTTAAGCCCGACATTGGTGGCACACGCCTTTAGTTCCAGCACTCGGGAGGCAGAGGCAGGCGTATCTCTGTGAGTTTGAAGCCAGCCTGGTCTACAGAACAAGTTCCAGGACAGGCTCCAAAGGTACACAGAGAAACCCTGTCTCAAGACAAACAAACAAACAAAAAAAACGAGTCTGTGTGAAAAGTCAGCAGAGCCACAGAAGTGCCAAGCAAGAAGAGAGCGCCCGGGAGGTACCAGAGCACACTGTTCCTGAACTTGGTTCTTGACTTCTTTCAGGAACTGCTAAAAAGAGTAAGATCCTTTCCAAGGAGGAGCAGAGAGTGGTTGCCTTCCATGAATCTGGCCATGCCTTGGTCGGTTGGCTGCTAGAACATACAGAAGCTGTAATGAAGGTGGGTTGTGATGAAAATGGTGGTAGGCATTGTGATTATAGACCTTTACCCATCTGGTCTAGGAAATACCACATGCGTTTGTTATGTAAGAGAAATTGTATCACCAACGTTGCATGACTCTGACTATAGCCCCTAGCAAGAACTAGGAAGAGAAGCAGGAGTGGGTCCTAAGCCTCAATTACCAGGCACGAATGGAAAGTTTCCTATGTCCAAGGCCTGTTCGTGCCCATTTGAGCCTCGTGGCAAAGAGCTGAAATTGTTTCTGCTCAGATGGCAAATGGTTATTTGAGATAGTTTCCAGAAATCATGTAGACTGTGCATAGAGACTCTTGAGGAACCCAGGGATATGGGACAAGAAATGTGTCATCTGGTTTATCCTCTAGGGAGGTCTGAGTAGCTCTAACAAGTTGCAAGGGTCCCATAAGGGCTTTGTGACTCTACTGTTCCCACCACAGCCATGCAGGACAAGACGGTGCAGCAGGCAGCCAACTGCCTGTATGCACTCTCTCGCTCAGTTTCGGCTGCTGTTTTCAGAGCTAACAACATATTGGTCTCTTTGAAGCAGAGTGCAGCAGTCCCTTCTGTGTTCCTGGGGTTGACAGGAGGTTAATCTCAGCACTCAGGTGGCACAGGCAGGCATATCTCTGTGAGCTTGAGTCCACCCTGGTCTATAGAAGTAGTTCCAGAATAGCCAAGGGCAACACAGAGAATCTCTGTCTGAAAAACAAAAAAAAAACTTCTTTTTGCTGGGTGGTGGTAGCCCATACCATTAAATCCTGACTCAAAAAACAAAACAAAAATCCTAAACTTTTTCCTTTTTATTATTTTGTTATGTGTGGGTATTTTGACTACATGTATGTCAGTGTACCACATATGTGCCGAGTGCATTGGATCCTCTTGAACCAGAGTTACAGATGGTTGTAAACACCGTGTAGTTGCTTGGAATCAACCTCAGAATCCTGTGGAAGAGAAGCCAGTACTATTGAACCATCTCTCCAGCCCCCATCTTTTTTTCTTTCTGGCAGTTCTGGGGATCCAGCCTAGAGCCTTGCACATGCTAAGTAAGCTCTTTACCACTGAATTGAGTCATGCTCTGACTTTGAGTATTAATACTAGCTTCTTTCTGGGGCTCACAGGCAGCTGGGCCTGCATAGACCTGCCCCAGCCACTTTTCTTTGTAATATAGCAGCTTCTTCTTGGCCTGTTGGAGCAGTAGTCCTGCCTTTCTCAAATGTCTGGCATTGGCCTGCTCTTCTGGGGATGGTGCTTAGAGGCACTCAGAATGGTCCAGCGTCTGACATACCGACGTAGGATTTCCTACAATACAGCCTCTAACAAAACTAGGTTGTCTCGAACCCCTGGCAACAGGATTGTTTACCTTTATACCAAGAAGGTTGGGAAAGCACCTAAATCCGAATGCAGTGTGTGCCCAGGAAGACTTTGAGAAGTTCATGCTGTCAGACTGAAAGTTCTTATGAGACTGTCAAAGACAAAGAAGCGTGTCAGCAGGGCCTACGGTGGCTCTATGTGTGCCAAGTGTGTCTATGACAGGATCAAGCAGGCTTTCCTTATGGAGGAGCAGGAAATTGTTGTGAAAGTGTTGAAGACACCAGCACAGAGTCAGAAAATGAAATAAATATGCAGCTTTTAAAATTAAGGTCAAGACTTGGTCTGTGAAAAAAAAATGTCTGGCATTGGATGGTAGGGGGGATAAGGAGAGCTGGTGGCCTCCCTTCCTTGGGTACATTCTGGAGTTTCCCATGGGTCAGTGCCAACTGGCATGTGAGGTGATTGCTTCTAAGAGCCCTGTCATTCTGACTTCCTATGCTACTGAGGAACATACCATACAGAAACTCCTGCTTCCCTGAGCTGCCTTTTGCAGTGTGCGGATTCTCTAAGAATGGGATATATAGATCAACCTGACTACGTGGCAACCTGTGGTGATGGTTTTAGGAGGCTCCTGTCTCACTCTGAGGTCACTTGCTTCCCGCTCTGTTGTTCTTCCTTAGGTCTCCATAGCACCTCGAACAAACGCTGCCCTGGGCTTCGCTCAGATGCTCCCTCGGGACCAGTACCTCTTCACCAAGGAGCAGCTGTTTGAGCGGATGTGCATGGCCCTAGGCGGTCGCGCAGCTGAGGCCATCTTTTTCAATAGAGTTACCTCTGGTGAGGAGACAGCCCTTGGGGTGTGGCTTTGCCAAAGTACTCTGATGCCTATTTCCTTCTGCTCAGTGCACCTGATAGGGTGAGACTGGTAGATGTGTGCAGTGCAGATATAGTTGTAGCCAGAGGAGTCTTGGAATTAAGCAAAAGCTTTACTTTTTTGTTTGTTTGTTTTTGGTTTGGTTTGGTTTTTCGAGACAGGGTTTCTCTGTATTGTTTTGGAGGCTATCCTAGAACTCGCTCTGTAGACCAGGCTGGCCACGAACTCACAGAGATCCACCTGCCTCTGCCTCCCGAGTGCTAGAATTAAAGGCGTGCGCCACCAACGCCCGACTGTTTGGTTTTTGTTTTTGTTTCCCACTGGTTATCATTGTTTTTTATTGAGGTATTTTCTCTTGTTGCTTCTTAACTAACTGGGTACTCCATTACACCACTGTTGATGTCATCAATGATGTCATGAAGGTGGCGGCCATCCACATTGCAGCCCACAGACTGTGCAGTACCCAGGATCTGTTTAATAGTTCCAGAAAGTTCTCTGGCTAAAGATCGGTGTAGCATCTGCCGGGCAATGCTGAAAATTCATTGAAAGTGATGTTTCCACTGTGTTCAATGCTCTTCTGCTTCTTTCTGTCTCTTGGCTCCTTGAGGGTTTTAATATCAGGGCTGAGGCAGAGGGCACCACCTGGGCCTGTCTGTTCTAGATGGTCAGTTTCACTGTGATCCTCAGGCCTTTCCAGTCACCCGTAGCCTTCACAATGGTCACTAGCTTTCCTTGGGTATAGACCCAGGGAACCGATCTTGGGGGCCAAGGCAGCTGGATTTGGATGAACCCGCTGGATTTGAGACTACCGACGAAAGTTGCACAGTAGCCTCCTCCAAGCTGAAAGCCGAAAAGGCGGCCGTCAGCTTGCCCACACCGGATATAGGCTTGTTTTTGTTTTTTGGTTTTTTTTAGAGACAGGGTTTCTCTGTAGCTTTGGAGGCTGTCCTGGAACTCACTCTGTAGACTAGGCTGACCTCGAACTCACAGAGAGCCACCTGCTCCACTTCCCGAGTGCTGGGATTAAATGCATGTGCCACCATTGCCTAGCCGCAGAAGCTTTAGTTTAAGGTAACTTATTTTGCTGGGTGGTGGTGGCGCACGCCTTTAGTCCCAGCATTTGGGAGGCAGAGGCAGGCAGATCTCTGTGAGTTTGAGACCTGCCTGGTCTACAAGAGCTAGTTCAAGACAGCCTCCAAAGCCACAGAGAAACCCTGTCTCGAAAAACCAAATGAATAAAGGTAATAAAAAAAGAATATTGGGACTGGCAAGATGTCTCATCAGTTAAGAGCACTGATTGCTCTTTCAGAGGACTTGGGTTCAATTCCCAGCACCCACATGGCAGCTCACAACTGTCTGTAACACCAGTTCTAGATGACCCAACACCCTCATATAGACATACATGCAGAAAAAAACACTAATGTACATAAAAATCAATTATATTTTTTTAAAAATCAATTATATTTTTTTAAAAACAGAGAATAACAAGGTTCTCTGTCACAGTCAGTGTCTTGCTATGGAAGTTGTAAGCATAATAATCTGGGATGTTGGGTGCGGCTTGCTTTGTGACAGCCTGAGGTCTGGTGCTCTTGTATGCATGTGCTCTTCAGAATACCTCCTTTTCTTGGTTCCAGGGGCCCAGGATGACTTGAGGAAGGTTACCCGCATTGCCTACTCCATGGTGAAACAGTTTGGGATGGCACCTAGCATTGGGCCTGTCTCCTTCCCCGAGGCACAAGAGGGCCTCATAGGCATTGGACGACGTCCCTTTAGCCAGGGCCTCCAGCAGCTGATGGACCATGTGAGTGGTCACAGGCCTTACTGCCCATGGAGAAGAAGCATCCGGGCCTCCTGCAGGAGCCTACTAGCACAGTCAGATGAGCATGTATTGAGGCCTAATGTGGCTGGTGTTTTGTTCTGGACTCTGACCTGTTAAGTGTGTTCTCTTGGGAGATGACCTAGATGCTCCCAAATAAAGCTAGATATGGAACTGGGAATAATGTCAAATAAGGATACCAAGTGGTAGAGCAGTGTACATGATCCCTGTAGCCCACAAGCTGGGCCAGCATGGCCCCTGGGTCTGTTCAGGACCAGCTGCAATTGCTTGTGCAATGTAGCAGCTGTGGGTTGCCCAGTTGCTCTCTCTAGGGTGAGGGTGGCTGGTGGGTGTGCATTCCTTAGACAGAATGAGAGCAGGAGACACTGCTGCTGTGTATTGTGAAGATGGGCCTGCTCCTTAACTGAGTTTTACGCACCTTAGTTTTAGAGCTGGCTGTCAGTGAGTCTGTGGACAGTGTTTCATACCTTTCTCATGACAGACTTATCTCTTCCTTTACAGGAAGCAAAACTGCTGGTGGCTAAAGCCTATAGGCACACTGAGAGGGTGCTGCTTGACAACCTGGACAAGCTGCAGGCGGTAAGGCATGTGGGGCCCAAGCATCCCCAGTGCATCTCAGGAGCCCTAGAAGTGTAGGGGCAGCATGGTCAACACTGACACCCCCATTCAGCTAGAATGTGTTTCTTGTCTTCTTACTGTAATCATAGCAAGCTTGTTCATTCAGAGGAAAGTTTTCTCTACCCTCATGCACATGTTATGTAGTACTAGCAGCAATCAATACTGAATTTTAGGGCTTTTCCAACACTTAAACTTTTTCTCTTGGAAAAAAAATTTTGTGATATGTATATTTCTCCTCTTGTTTAAGTATTGTTCTTATACTGATCTTTTAAAGGTAACACATAAATACAAGACTATAGATAGTTATTTATAATAGTCAGAACTTATAGTTAGGTAAGTTAGGTTTTCTAAATATACAGAGATATATTTGAGATAGATAGATAGTCTTCAAACCTTTCAAAGATATTCAGAAAATGGCATTTAAATGGTTTAGCGTTTTTCTTGACAATGAGAAATGTCTGCTCCTGGCAGCACCAATTACGTCTGAGAGGAAGATGGGCATCGAACTCACAGAGATCTTCCCACCTCTGCCTCTCAAGTGCTGGGATTATTAAAAGCATGAGCCACCAATGCCTGGCTTAAATTTTATTCTTAATTACATGTATCTGCACTTGAGTGCAAGTGACCACAGAGGCCAGAAGAAGGCATTGGTCCTTTGGAGCTGGGATTCAAGTGTTGTGAGCCACTGACCAGAGTACTGAGAAAGGAATTTGATTCCTCTGCAAAAGTAAAATATGCTTTTCTTCTCTTTCACCACCTTCTTCTTTTGTGGGTTCTTTGTTTGTTTTTTGAGACAGGGTCTCTATACATCTTCCTGACTGTCCTAACTCACTTTGTAAACCATGTTGGCCTCAAACTCACAGAGATTGCCATGCCTCTGCCTCCCAAGTGCTAGAATTAAGGTGTGTTCCACTCTACTCAGTAAGTATATGCTCTTAACCACAGAGACGTCTCTCCAGCCCTCCCTCAGACTTTTTCAAAAATCTTTTTTCATTTTACAATAGTTTTAGATTGAGAAAAGCTACACCTGCTCACCTTCCCAGTGGCCTGATCCCACAGGACATGCAGTCAGTCATTCCATCTCCTTATACTCCTCTTGCCTTTGACCATATCTCAGACTTCCTGGGGTTCAGTAACCACAGGATCCTAAACATAGCACAAACCTGCAGGATGTCCTGTGGGTTTGTCTGGTATGTTAGTGTGGGTAGTCATTTTTTGGAGGACAGCTCCAGAGTCCAGAAGTGAGGACACTGTGTCCCTAGGTTATGATGGCTTCTACCTAGAAGGCAATGGAAGTGATAGTTCTTGGTCCCACATGAAGACAGACAAGAGTTGATGTGGGTAGTTATTTCTAGCCTTTTTATTTCTTAGAATGAGGCAACTGAGCCAAGCATTGTTGGAACAGGCCTGTCATCCCAGCTCTCTGGAGGCAGAAGCTCAAGGATAGTTGAGTTCATGGCCAGCTTAGCCTACAGAGTAAATCTTGCTTCCAAAACAAAATCTTAAATTTAAATTAAAAAACCAAAAAAGCCAAGTATGGTGACACATACCTTTAATTCCAGCACTCAGGAGGCAGAGGCAAGCAGATCTCTCTGAATTCGAGTTCAGCCTGGTATACAAAGCAAGTTCCAGGACAGCTAAGGCTGTTGCACAGAGAAAAGAGGCAGCTGCTATGTTAGTTTGGAATCCTGTTTCAGGCCCTTAGAGTATTGGTCCTGGAGCAGATCTACCTCGCTAGATCCTATGGCAGTGCAGTCTCTGCTGAAGTAACCTCTGCCTAGTAAGGAGCCAGTGTTACTGTGGAGAACTTCAGCTGACTGTATTGGGAGGAGGATGGGGGTTGGCAAGACCACCCATGGGTATCACACTGACTGCAGAACAGAGCTGCCTCTGTTTGGGCTGAACTACAATAGGTTTTAGTCTAGTGACAGATTAGAGCAAAGGGGGAACTGTACCTCTTCAGTATGGCTATAGACATCACCCCCATGCCTAGCATGTTAAGGTCCAGCATCACCAAAAAAAAAAAAGAGAGAGAGAGAGAGAGAGAAAACGTGGAAGAGTTTTCTTTTAAATATTGTGTTTAGATTTATTTATTAATGTCTATGCATGTACTTGAGTGTTCAGGAACCTTCAGTGGTCAGAAGAGGATGTATTCCCTTGGCATTGGAGTTATAGACAATTGAAAGCTGCCATGTAGATGCTGGGAACCAAACCCAGGTCCTCTGTATGAGCAACTCTGAGTTGGAAGAGTTTTGTTTTGTTTGTGTTGTTTTGAAATAGGGTCTCACTATGTAGCCCTAGCTGGCCTGGAACTAGGGTGACCTCAAACTTACAAGCCTGCCTTTCTCTCTGTCTCTGCTGTGCTGGTGTTAAAGATGTGTTCCACCATACCCAGCTCTTAAAAGAGTTTTCTTAGCCAGCAAGACCTAGCAGGATGTGGCTACAGACACAGGACCTTTAGGATAAAAATATTTTCTGGGCCAGGCTTGATAGCATATGCTTGTAATCCTGGCACTCAAGAAGTTGAGACAGGCCGGGTGGTGGTGGCTCACGCCTTTAATCCCAGCACTCGGGAGGCAGAGGCAGGTGGATCTCTGTTAGTTCGAGACCATCCTGGTCTACAAGAGCTAGTTCCAGGACAGCCTCCAAAGACACAGAGAAACCCTGTCTCAAAAACACCAGGAGGGAGAGAGAGAGGGAGAGGGAGAGGGAGAGGGAGAGGGAGAGGGAGAGGGAGAGAGAGAGAGAGAGAGAGAGAGAGAGAGAGAGAGAGAGAGAGAGAGAGAGAGAGAGAGAGAGAGAGAGAGAGAGAGTTGAGACAGGAACATAGAAAGCTTGAAGTCAGCCTAATATTACACACACACAACACACATATTCCTGTCTGGGAGTACAGTAATAGTTATGAAGATGACGATGATGTTAATGTTCAGAGCTGTATCTAGAGTAGCAGAGATCCCTCCCCAGTTGTGTCGGTCAGTGCCTATTTCCACAGATTCCAAGCACGAGGCTCTGGATTTAGCGCCCCTGCCTGCCTCTCCCAGACACACACACCTTGTTTGGCGAAGGAAATTGCAGTTGCCAGAAATAAGCAGAGGTTTTGAAAGGAAATAGAAAAATGAATGAGGCTGGCAGCTGACAGATCACTTTTAGGGTAAAGACAGGGAGCAATTCTTTGCCTGAACTGCCTTTGCGCCTGTGTCTCTCTGGGAAGGTGGCCTTTCCGAGGCATCCTGCTCACAGATGAGCCCTCCTACTTTACTGGGACACAGAGACATTCTGTGGGATGGGTTTCCATCTCTGATGCTCTGCTCTCCAAGGCACTCACACACTGCCGTGTTTGTTCTTTCTAGCTGGCGAATGCCCTTCTGGAAAAGGAAGTGATAAACTATGAGGACATTGAGGCCCTCATTGGCCCTCCGCCCCATGGTCCAAAGAAAATGATTGCACCACAGAAATGGATTGATGCTGAAAAGGAGAAACAAGCCTCAGCGGAGGAGGATGCTCCGGCTCCCTAGCCCCACTCGGCTCGGCTCACTGCTTTCCTCGGCTGCACCTGCAGTTAGTGCAGAACTTACTTGTTGGCAAGCTGCCACCAGCCTCCCAGAGTCTTTTCACCTGAAACTTGAACCTCAGCTTCTGTTAGCTCTCTCTGGTTTTTGCCGAAGACTTTGGATATCTATTGGTTCAAGATTATTAAATCGAATGCAGAGACAACTGACCTTTCCATATGTATTGCTTTCCTTGTGGACTAGACTCAATGGAATAGTCTAGTCCCTGGGGCTTCAGATGCAGTCTCCATGTGTGACTCTGTAGGTAGCCCACCAGTTGGACTAAAGAATCCCCTGTTTATGTCTTGGACTCCCTCAGAATGCTAATAGGATCCAAGATGAAAGACCCTCTGAACTGACTGTCCTCATCACTGTGCTCACTCATTAAGGGGGCCAAAGTTGGGAACAGGCACTGTTGGAAGATGCAAATACTGCCACCTACTGCTGTGTGCAAGTGGAGAATTTCCCCTGTCTTGTTCTTATGTATAGAGTGTCTTGGCTTCCACCACCATTGATTCCTCACACATTTTGTGATAGAGAATCCACATTTGAGCTGTGTGGCCATGGGTCTTGTTTTCACTTTACACCTTGAGCCCTTTGTGTAAGTATCTGAACTCAAACCATGCAGAGTGAGCCACAGACACTTGCTGGTTCATAGTTCCTGCCTGCGGTGTCTCCACCCTTCCTGTGCAGTGGCATTTGGAGCATGGGTTACAGTGACTTCCTGTTAGAGCAAATTGTTGTTATTGCCCAGCACTCTGCATCTGAGGAAATTCTGGGCAGTAGGAAGCAGTAGCAAGGACCAGCAAGAGCAGCTGGGGTGATTTAAGGGTTTAAGAACATTTTACGCCGGGTGGTGGTGGCGCACGCCTTTAATCCCAGCACTCGGGAGGCAGAGGCAGGCGGATCTCTGTGAGTTCGAGGCCGGGCTGGACCGATATATCAGCCTCCAAAACAATACAGAGAAACCCTGTCTTGTAAAAACCAAAAAAAAAAAAAAAAAAAAGAACATTTTACATTTGATCTGAGTTCTAGTTCTTAACAAAGATTAGCATATAGTTAGGTTTTACATTTCTCCAATGCGTTGTCTTAAACAAGCATGATGACTCTGCAAACCTGTTAACCCGAGTTCAATTGCTGGATTCCTATAGTTGTCCTTTGACCAGTTCATGCCAGGACACAAATATACCCAGATCCATACACACAAAAAAAGTGTGCCAGGCTTGGTCACACAACCCTTTAGTTCCAGCACTTAGAATGCAGAAACAGGCAGACACTGATGAGTTTTGAGCCCACTCTAGTTGATTTACAGAGTTCCACACCAGCCAGAGCTACATAGTGAGACCCTATCTCTAAAATAAAGTGAATAATAATAAGCCAATATAAAACTCTCACCCACTGAAACAGTCCCATTTGCCTACCTTTTTGTTTTTTTAGATTAAAAATTTTTTTTTTCGAGACAGGGTTTCTCTGTGGTTTTGGAGGCTGTCCTGGAACTCGCTTGGTAGTCCAGGCTGGTCTCGAACTCACAGAGATCCGCCTGCCTCTGCCTCCAGAGTGGTGGGATTAAAGGCGTGCGCCACCAACGCCTGGCTAGATTTTAAATTTTTATGTGCATAAATATTTTGCCTGGCCGGGAGTTGGTGGCACATGCCTTTAATCTCAGCACTTGGAAGGCAGCGGCAGGCAGAACTCTGTGAGTCTAAGGCCAGCCTGGTCTACAAAGTGAGTTCCAGGACAGCCTCCAAAATAATACAGAAAAACCCTGTCTAGAAAAACCAAAAAAAATTTTTTTTGCCTGAATGTGTATACATGTATCACATGCAGTGCTACGCTAGATATCCTGGGACTACAGTTAAGAATAGTGTGACCACCGTGTGGGTGCTGGTAATCAAAACCAAGCCTCTGCCAGAACAAGTAAGTACCCTTAGCCACTAAACCATCTCTCCAACCCTAATTTTTTGTTTTTTGTTTGTTTTGTTTTGTTTTTGGTTTTTCGAGACAGGGTTTCTCTGTATTGTTTTGGAAGCTGTCCTGGAACTCATTCTGTAGACCAGGCTGGCCTCGAACTCACAGAGATCCGCCTGCCTCTGCCTCCCGAGTGCTGGGATTAAAGGCGTGCGCCACCAACGCCCGGCTTGGTTTTTTGAGACCAGGTCTCGATTAAGTAGCCCTGGCCAGCATCAAAATGTTTCTGTCTTCTGATTGCTGGGATTATGGGTGTGTACCACCAAGTCCAGTCAGAAACACTATGCGATTCTGATAAAAAAATTTTTAAACAATCAGAATTGGGGGCTGGAGAGGACTGGCTCAATGGTTAAGAGTTTACTGCTCTTTAATCCCAGCACTTGGGAGGCAGAGACAGGCGGATCTCTGAGACTTCGAGACCAGCCTGGTCTTCAAAAAGAGTTCTAGGACAGTCTCCAAACCTACATAGAAACCCTGTCTCTAAAAACAAAAAACAGACAAAAGTTTACTGCTCGCTCTTTTTGTTGTTTTCTATGTCCCCTTTTTTGTTTTTTTGTTTTTGAGACGAAGTTTCTCTGTGTAGCTTTGGAGCCTGTCCTGGAATTCACTCTGTAGACCTGGCTGCTCTTGAACTCACAGAGATCTGTCTGCCTCTGCCTCCTGAGTACTGGGACTAAAGGCATGCAACACCACTGCCCGGCTTGTTTTTTGTTTTTTTGAGATATGGTTTCTCTGTCTAGACCTGGCTATCTTGGAACCTGCTCTCTAGACCAGGCTGGCCTCAAACTCAGAGATCTACCTGCCTCTGCCTCCTGAGTGCTGGGACCAAAGGGGTGCACCACCACTGCTTGGCATGTTTACTGCTTTTGCAGAAGGACCCAGGATTTGATTCCTGACACCTCTGTGGCAGCTCACAACCACCTATATAACTCTAGTTCTGAGGGATCCAATACCCTCTTCTGGACCCTGGGCTCCTGAACATTGTGGTGCACATAACTCATATCAGCTCAAACACATAAATATTAAATTAATAATGAATACAACTCAAAAAAATTAAGGTTATTTGTCTAAAGGGGTCCCAGGTTATGAATGATAAGAAAGCTTATTATTGAATTAAGCTGGAATTTTCTGATGCTTCCAGACACCTATGTTTCAGTAAACACTGGAAGGGAAGGGAGGGACTACTTCAGGGGGAGCTTGCCTCGGAATGAACATATCATAGCCATGAGAAGCTGGGACTAATCATGCAAGAGATTACAATCCTGTGCAGAGCACGCCTCTCCTCAAGGGTGCCGTCCAACAAGATCTTGGGTATAACTGCTTCTGCAGAATTCTCTGCCCAGCAGAACAGGAACTGTACCTATAGCTAGAGTTTGAAAAACTGCATCAACCAAGTCTTTGCATAACTGTTCACTTCAATGTCCATCTTGGTTTTATGCAGCAGAGGAAACTTAAGATCACAGCTGCACTTCCTTTCAACTAACTTGACCCTAAACAGTGTTTCCGTTTCAGACCCCTAATGCCCACCCAGTGTTCCAGGCAGCACTGCAGCTAGAACTGGAAGTCAGGTGCAGATCTAGGTTAGTAGTAGGTAACCTGAGTCTGTGTATCCAGAAAGAAAAGTTGGTGGTGGAGATGGAAATATCTTTTAGATTAGAGAAAGCCAGGTACTTGGTGGGAACATAGAAACAAATCTGAGAAAACACACCTAGGTTGACTTTCATTCAAAGAAATTAATACCTTGGATGAAGGTATTCAACAAATATTTTCTCTGGGGTGGCAAGATGGCTCAGTCCGTAAGGACACTTGCTGCCAAGCTTGAAGGTCTCAGCATCCCCTGTTTATAACCCTGAGAAAGAGTGAGAGAGAGGGCAGACAGAATTTGATCTCTGGAGGTCACTGGCCAGCCACTCAATCTTGCCGAATTGATAAGTTTTAGGTTCAGTGAGAGGCCCTATCCAACAATAAGGTGGAAAGCAAGCTGGGCAGTGGTGGCTCACACCTTTAATCTCAGCACTCAGGAGGCAGAGGCAAGCAGATCTCTGTGAGTTCGAGGCCAGCCTGGTCTACAGAGAAACCCTATCTGAAAAAACAAAAATGCAGAGAACATCTCCAACATCAACTTCAGACCTCCACACCTCCTCTCACACACAAAAGAGTCTAATACAATAGGCAAGTTTTCTGCACTGACTTACATCCTCAGTCCTCTTTTCATTACATTTTTAGTGTGTGTAAGCATACCTTGGTACTCACAGGGACTGCAGACAACCTGGAGGTTCCAGTTCCCTCCTTCCACCATGTGGCTTCCAGGAATCAAATGGTCAAACTTGGCAGCAAGTACCTTTAACCCGATATCCTGCAAGACCTTTTTTACTTTGAAAGATGGTATCACTGAGTTGCCCAAGAAAGCATTAAAATTGCTGTTGTCCTGCCTCAGTTTCTAGAACCACTGGGATTGAGGTCTGTGAAACCAGGCCCAACTATAATGTGGGTTGTAGCCACACCTTGAAGATCTTTAAAAAAAAATGTATAGCTCTCTTAATTCCCAAGTCATTTTTACAGTTCTTATTGTTAATTATAGAACCAGGACCAGCACGATGGACAGAGCACAAGCCTTGGAGAGCATATTAATCATAGTTTATTATAGTGAAACTGAAAGGGGGAGACAGACATGGCAGAGAGGAAGATGAGAGAGAAGAGAGAATGAGATGGGAGAGAGCGAAAGTGGGCAGGGGTCTGTCCTTTAAAGGGGTCCTTTGCACCTGCATGCAGACTGGTTCTCATGGAACTCTGGGCTGGCCAGAGCGCTGCCTGAGTGAATCCTGCCAAGTAGGAGAGCAGGCCAGTGTAATGCCTGAACCTTTCACTTATAATGAAATTTTCATCAGGATGAAACCTGGTAATTAGGGGTGGAGTGAAAAAAGACAGGGTTATTGGCATACAGATGTAGAACAGGCATATGCTTTGGCTGCTTCATGGCTTGTTGTCGCTGCCATTGTGGGTAGGAATTCAATATATGTGTTTGGTGACACCCAAGTCTGGGACTAAAGGATTTATCTAAGTAAATGGGGAGTTTGGAACTGGAGAGATGGCTCAGTAGTTAGAAGCACTGGCTGTTTGCTCTTCCTCAATTCCCAGCAGCTCTCAACTGTCAATTCTCCAGCCTCAGGGAATCCGTTGCACTCTACCGGCCTCCATGAACACTGCATGCACATAGTGCAGACATGAGTCACATGAACTAAAAAATAAAACTCTAAACAACAACAAAATCGGGAATGGCGGTACATGCCTCTAATCTCAGCTGTGAGGAAGAGGAGCCTGAGTTTTAGGCAAGTCTGGGCAACAGAGAGACCACAGATCTTAAAAGAATAAAGAGCCGGGCGTTGATGGTGCAACGCCTTTAGTCCCAGCACTCGTGAGACAGAGGCAGGTGGATCTCTGTGAATTCGAGACCAGCCTGGTCTACAAGGGTGACTTCCAGAACAGCCTCCAAAGCCACAGAGAAACCCTGTCTCGAAGAAGCAAAATGTTCCTAAGTGGGTGGGGAAAAGAAAAAACACTGGACCCAGGAGGGAGAAGGATTT